CCGGGGAGCGCGTGCAGGCAGGGCCGCTGGCGACTCAGGCACTGGAGGGGCCCGGCAGGGAGCACAGGCTCCTGACCGCCCTGGGCCGGCCTCCGCCACCGTGCGGCGCAGTGTGAGCGCGACCCCGGCCGAGACCGGGTGCCTCCGTGGGGGCCACGGCGCCCATCGGGGTGCCGGCCTGCAGCCTCCCGTCCGCGCCCTCTGAGGCCTCGCCCCGTGGTTCACCTTGGCCTCGGGGACCTTTCATCTGTTCCCAAAGAGCCCGGTTGGGGGAAACATTCAAATGGTTTGCCAGTTCTGAGATGGCATTGTGGGGACCCTGCGTCCCTGAGCTCGTGTGAAGCGATCGAGGACGCCCCGCTGTCTCGGCGGCCGGCTCAGGCGGGCTGCGTGCTCGGTGCTGTATTCGGGAGTCCCGGAGGAGGGCCCTGGTGGTGGGCGGGAGCTCCAGCGCGAGTGGCTCTGCACCCGGGCCCCTCGGCCCCTCCCGGGAGCCCGGGTCTGGCTCATGCCCTCGGCTATCCTCTGCGGAGTGGGGCCGCCCCATGGGGTCCCCCTGTCCTCAGCCGAGCCGTGTGCAGTCCAAGCCTTCTCTCCCCCTGGGCGGAGGGCGGGGTCTCCTGTTCCTGCCCTTTCCTCCTCGCTGGCACCCGCGGGTCCCCCGCTGCTGGGCAGCACTCGCCTCCTTGTGGGCCCTTGTCCTGGCACTGCGGCTCTTGCCGGGGGGCCTGTTGGGAGTTTCTCAGTAGCAGTCGATGGTAGAGTAAAGCGCTTGAGGGGGCCCCGAAGGAACAGCCCTGGGGTCCCGTCTTAGCACAGGATCCTGAGGTGCGGTGGAAGCCAGCCCCTGCTGGGGGGCCCACGCAGGCAGAGCCCCCAGGAAGGCGGTCCTCTCCCCGGCTGCTTAGCCTGCTGCGGGAGTGCTGAGTCCCCTGGCCTGCGGGGGGGCCCACGGCTCACGGGGCCTCAGTTCTTCGCAGGTGCAGCTTCAAGGGCGGTGTCCCTGCGCGCCTGCTGGGGACGCGGGCTGGCCTGGAGCAGGAGGCGCTGGGGGGCCTGGGAGGGGCTGCTGCATCCCAAGGGCCTGGGCTGATCTGGGGCACCCCCGAGGTGACCTGGAGGCTCTGGAGCCCGAGGCCCTGACCCCCCTCCAGTGGTCGCGCAGCAGCTGGGGGCGTCTGCTCGGCTCCCTTGGGGTCTGCTGGCCTGTGGGCTGTCATCGTAAGCAGATGGGGAAACGTGGAAACGCGTCGCATTGTGGAGACCGACTGTACGCGCGCCGAGGACTGTCGCGAGACGGAAGCGCTCCTGCCGAGAGCGGGCCGCAGACGAGACGAGCCGTCCACGCACTGGAACGCGGCGCGCCCTGCAGGGGAGCGAAGCCGGTGGGGGCCGCCGTGCCGCTGGACCTCGGGGGGCTGCCCGGCCGGGAGGCGTCCCGCTGGCTGCGCAGTGTGGGGGTCCACTGGCACAGGGGCGCCGATGGCGAGCGGTCACTGGCTGCCGGGGCTTGGGGCAGTAGGGTGTGCTGATGGGGGTAGGTTTCTTTCTGGAACGTTCTGGAGTGGGGGTGGTCCCCACACTGTGAGTGTTCTCGAGGGGCACACTCAGGCCCGGGCGCCAGCGCTGTCTTTGTCGGGCGCTGCGCCCCCACCAGAAGGCTGGGCCGACCCCTGCTGCCCCGGCTGGACCGCCCCCAGGGGCGAGGGCTCCGGCCAGGCTCCCGATCTCCCGCCGCTGCACGTCAGCTGTCGTCACTGTCGTGTGCAGCCGAGGCCGTGGTGACCGTCCCTGTGTCAGCTGCGCGAGACAGGGCCTGTGTTCAGCTGCCATTTCCCGCCCCGTCCCACTCAGCGCAGGGCACCGCGCTGGGGGGCAGGGGCATGTTCTGCGTGCACCTGGGTGCGCGTGTGTGCGTGTGCGTGCCCCCACCCCTGCTCTCCCGCTGTGTTGCCTCGCAGGCTGAGGCTCACCCTTAACCTGAAAGCGCGCGGCCGTGTTGGAGGTTCCCGGGACGGGGGGCTGTGAGGCTCGGAGTGGGGAGTGTGCAGGGAGGGGACTCGCCTCGGGGCGGGGGGCGGGCACGCGCTCAGGTACCTCTGCGCTCCGGCACTGCTGTCCCACCTGCGCCCCGCCTGTTCCTGCTGCCGGCGCCGCCCCTCGCCTTCCCACCTTGTGCGCTGCGGGGCCCCAGGCCGGGGTTCGAGGCTTCTCCTGGTGTGTCGGGGCCGCTGACCCGCGCCGCCTGCCCGCTCCAAGGCGGTCCCACGGAGGGGTTCCTGGCTCTAGCCCCCCCGCACCCCTGCTCTGGCGAGGCTGGGTCTGCGCTGCTGTTTTGAAGCCGGTTTTTCGGGTTTGGGACTTAGGTGTGCTGGGGACCCAGGACCTGGAACCCGGGGCGAGGCGTTGGCACGGACCCAGGAGCGGGGGAAGCGCGCCCTTCCCGGTGCGTGGGCCTGGGCCGCACCGTGTAGGGGGCGATCGAGGCACAGCTCCGCGGCCCCTGGCTCCGAGGACCTTCACCCGCCCTCTCCTGGGACCCGAAAGGACGCTGGGACAGGGGATAAGCGGTGCTGCTCCTGGTGGCTGAGGTGTCCCCCGCCCGTGGTGCGCCTGGCTCGGGGGCGCAGCCTCGTCCCGCTGGCAGGGTGACCGACCCCTGGGGCGGCTCCTGGAGCGCCGGGTGGCTCGCCCACGCTCAGGTCCCCGCCCTGTGTGTGTGGTGGGCGTGTGCCTTCGGTGGCCGCTTCGACACACGGTGTGAAAGGTCCCTGCAGGCTGCTGTGTGCGGCCACTGGCTGGCAGCTGCGGGCGGCTCCCAGGGCGGGGCCCAGGCTGGTGGGGACCCCACGTGTCGGAGTGTGTGCGCAGCGCCAGGGCGGCGGTCTCACGCCGTGTCGGCAGCGCTGGGAAGCCCGCTCCTCCAGGGCGTGCTGCCTTGGGTTCCCACGTCTCCGACGTCCTCCTGAGCTGCCATGGGCTGCTTTTTAAGGAGACGCGTGTTTCTGGTTTGATATTGAGGCGAACTTATAATTCTGAGGCCTAAAGGGTGTGGCTGCCGGCACGTGCGCTGTCCCCGTGGGGACTCCGCTGGGCCTGTGGGCCTGTCGCCGCTGCCTGCCGGGGCTCATTGACAGCCTTGGCGCCCCTCGCGAGGGTCATGGGGCGGAGTGAGGGTCGTGCTCTCGGGCCAGGCGGCTCTGTCCAGTTCAGAGCGGCCACCCCAGTTTAACCGAGTCCCAGAGCCTGCGGCCCGAGGGCTGGGAGGCGCAGCAGGGCCCTGGCGTGGGAAGACCCGCCTCGCAGGGTCGCAGAGCAGGCCCAGGCAGCTTCCTGCCCGGAGCTGTGGCTGTCACCCCGTCACCCCAGGGACCTGGCAGGACTGGGGAAGGCAAGGAGAGGCAGGAGGCCTGTGTTCACCTTGGCAGCACTGCTTCCTGGGGAGTGAGAAGTGGATCAAATACCGCAACGCCCTGTACTGCTAACCCTGCTGTCCTCTTCCTCGTGACGCTGGTTAACCAGGGTCACTGAGAGTCCAGCCTGACCTCGTGCTCCTGCTCTGAGGCCTTTACAGCCGTGACCGAGTCCAAGTTTCCCCCCGGAAAACAAACCCGCCGAGGGCGCCGTCCTGCTTGGCTCTCCGCTGGAGCGTCTGGCGTCCGCACCGTGCGTTTGACTTCATGTGCTCTCGTTCCCTCAGCGGGCGGCTGCGAGGCCGCGGCGGCACCCAGGGCCCCCCCGCCCCAGCCGCGGGGTCCGTGCTGGGCAGGGCCAGGTGGCAGCAGCCTGGCTGTGTGTCATGGGGTGTCCTGGGCCAGGCCCACTTCTCTCTGTCCGGCAGCTTCCCTTCCGCAAGGACGGGGACCAGGCTCCCTCACGGCGCCCTGGCCCTGATCCTCCTCGACTCGCTCCCTGACCCCTTGAGCCAGGGGCTCGGGATGGGGCGGGGGGACAGGGGCGGAGCGAGGCCTGTCCTGCCGGGGCTGGTCAGCCTCCGCGCGGTGCCTCCGCGTGGCTGACCACACGTGGGTGCAGCTCCACCCAGCAGGGACAGGGCCGGGGCCTGGCTGCCAGGTGACTGAGCGCCTCGGAAGCCCGCGCGTCCCCGTCTGTCCTCTCTCAGCAGTCACCTGTGTCTGACGTGAGGCCGGGCCCCCGGGCTCGCAGCCCTGCCGTGCTTGAGCGCGCAGGGGGCTTGGACCGGCAGTGGGTGGGGCGTGGGGCGGCTGCAGCCCTCATGGGCCCTCGGGAGGCAGCGTACTGGGCCCCACTGACCGGGCACCGGTTCCCCTGCCTGGGCGAGGCAGGGGGCCTCGTGGGCTGTGCCAACTGGCAGGGGTCTGTCTGAGGTCCCTCGTCGTGGTCAGGGCCCTGCGAGACCCGGGGCCATCGGGGCGAGCCGGGCGTGGGGCCGCCGCGGGGGGTGGCCGTGCGTTGGAGGGCAGGGCCCTCCCGGGGGGCTTCCTGCAGGGCCCTGGGAACTCGGCTTCATCGGGGGTGGAGACGGTTCTCGTGGCTGCCCCTAAAAGGGCCCTCTGGGTCACGTGACCCCAGGCAGCCCAGCTGTGAACAGGGGAGGGACATGCCGGTGCCGGCAGCACTCGGACAGGGTTTGCCAGAAAGTGCCGCCCTTGCGGATGGGGCACAGGCAGCGGCTGCCTTGGAAAATGGTCCTCGGCAAATATTTGCTGACCAAGCACACACTGTGCTCCAGTCGCGCCGTGGCGTGTGTCCAGGGGCGGGGGGTGTTCCTCATGCCCACGCTCCCCGACATCCCGGCGGGCAGTGGCCCCTGGTGACAGACAGCCGCGTCTCTGTGCGGACCCCTTCCTGCGGCTCCGTCGCTCCTGCAGACACGCTGCGTCCCCCAGGCCCTCGGCGTACGGTCGCTGCCTGCCGCCAGCCGGCACCCCCCAGGTCTGCTGCCTGCTCCTCGGCTGTGGCGGGGCTGACGGGACACCAAGGGGGTGCTGACGCCTCTGTTCTTCCCCTCCGTCCAGGAGACGTCCTCTTCCAGATGGCTGAGGTCCACAGGCAGATTCAGAACCAACTGGAAGAGATGGTGAGACCCAACCCTCGGGTGGCCCCGGGTGGCACTGCGAGCAGGCGGGCAGGCGGGCGCACGAGGCCAGGGTGGCCTGGCCTTCAGACTCCCGTCCAGCACCCCTCCCGGCGCCTCCTGGCCCCGCAGGCCCACCTCTTCCTGCACGGCCATTGGCTCCGGGTCAGACAGGCCCTCTTTCCCAGGGGGTGGTGACTGCTCCTTGCCTGCCGGCGCCCCCCACCCCCACACAGCGGCACTGACTCGGGTCTGCCTGCCCTCCCCGCGCAGCTGAAGTCCTTCCACAATGAGCTGCTCATGCAGCTGGAGCAGAAGGTGGAGCTGGACGCCAGGTACTTGAGTGTAAGTAGCCCCGCCTGCGCCTGCCTGCTCCACTGTTGGCCGTTCGAGGGCCTGCCTCCCTTGGGGGGTCTCTGCTCCCTCCGGCCCCAGCGTCCCGCCCACTGCAGACAGGATGCAGTCCTGGGGCGAACCCATGCCCGGCGCTCCCGCGTCCACCTCTCGGCTGTGTTTAGTGAAGGCGGTGACATGGGGTTGCCGTTCCGTGGACCCCACACGCTCCCTCTCTGACCTGCTGTCCCTCAGCGACCCTCCCTCACCTCCTGCGCCCCCTGTGCCGTCACCTCCTCAGCCGGACGAGAGCGAGGGGTGGGGCTCTGCCGCGTCTGGGGCGCGGAGCAGGGCAGGCGGGCCGGGGCTCGCTGGCCCCCTCAGCCTGGCTTCCGTCCCGGGAGCGAGGGAGAGCGGGGCTCACAGCCGCCTGGTCCTGTCTGTGCGCCAGGCCGCACTGAAGAAGTACCAGACGGAGCAGAGGAGCAAAGGCGACGCGCTGGACAAGTGCCAGGCTGAGCTGAAGAAGCTGCGCAAGAAGAGCCAGGGCAGCAAGAACCCGCAGAAGTACTCGGACAAGGAGCTGCAGGTAGGACCCAGCGCCGGCTGCAGGCACACGCGGGCCCGGGGGGCACTCTCCCGCTGCACAGGGGCTGCCGCCGGCGGGGCCAGGGCCCTTCTCCGGGCAGATTGCAGGGGCGACAAGTGCCCTGTCCCGGAGCAGGAGCGGGCAGGGCAGTGTGGCCCGGGACCGCCGCGCCCTGTGCCCTCAGCCTCGGCGGGCGCTGTGGGGCTCTCCAGCCCCAGAGCAGCGGCCCAGATGGGCTCTGCCTGCCCCGCCCTCTGCATCCCGGCCTCGGAGGGCGGCCCCAGCCTGTTTCTCTAATCAAAGCGCACTCGCCCGCCTGGGCCTGGGCCTCCAGGCACGCGGCCTCTCCGCGGCCCTGCAGCGTGAGGCAGATGGCGCTGGAGGGCGAGGGAGGGGCCAGCCCCGGAGTCCTGTCACTCAGCATCTCGCTCAGGTCGCGGGTGACGTGTGCCGAGTGGGGCACGGCTTCTGGACAGCAGGGCCCCTGAGGGGCCTGGCCTGATGCACCTGAGTCAACAGAACCCCGGCCAGGTGACGCAGATCTGGCCCAGGACACCTGCTCTCTGAGGTCACGGAGCTCAGAGGAGGAGGAGAAAGAAAACAGGACGCCCACTTGTTTGTAAAGAAAACATCGAAAAACAGCTCCCCCGCCAGCCAGGAGCGGCCACCCCTGGGAAGCCCCGTGGGGTGGGTGTGGGGGCGGCTCTCAGCAGCGACCCCTCAGCTCCTCGAAGCCCCGCCCTTCCTGCCAGCCGCCGGGCCGGCACACCTCATGGGGCACCACGCACGCCTGCCCGCTGCCGACTGGGCACGTGTGCGTATGCGCGCGCGTGGGTGGTCTTGCGGCGCTGGGACCCTGCTTCCCACGAGGGCCTCTGACTGCGCCCTGGGACTGAGCCCTGTCCCACCTGCGGAGCCCGCCCCCGCCCCCGCCCCTGCAGAGTGTGGTGCACACAGGCAGACCTGAGCGCTGCGCCCCTCCGTGTCGGGGGCTCCGGTGGAGAGGACAGACTGGGTGACAGGTGGGGACAGTGCCCCATGCGGGAAGCAGCCCTGTGCAGGTGGGCGGGGCGGGGGCTGTGCGGCCCAGCGTCGGCCTCTTCTGGGCGTCTCTCAGCCTCGCGGAGACGCGGTCCCTGCTCTCCAAGTGTGCCCGCCAGGGCATCCACAGTCTTGCGGGCTGCCCCCCACCCCCCATCGCTGCCCAGGCCCCGCCACGGTCTCAGTGGGCTCAGTGGGCTGCCCCAGAGCGGGCTTCTAGGTGGAGCCTAGGAACGCACGCGTACTGGGGCCGCTCTGTGCTCGTCCCACCCTCGCTGAGCTTTGCGACTTTGCTTCCTGAAACCCTTGGCCAGGGAAGTGTCCCCGCTGCCCGGGAGAGAAGGAGCACCCCCAGCGCATCTGCTTAGAGCCCTAAGGGAGCCCCAGCACTGGCCGGGGACGGGCGGGATGCGAGGCGGGCGCGTCAGGCTCTGCTGCCTGCTCCCCGCCCCCCCCACTCTGCGCAGCGCCCGATGGCGGCAGTTTCACTGAGCTGCAACCTGCGTGCCACATGGTCCATCCCCTCAGAGTGCGTGGTCCTGGGTCGTGATCACACTCAGAGCCCCCCACCCCACATCAGAGCCCTAGCGCCGCATGGCGCAGCCGGCCCGTGCCCATGAGCAGCGACTGCCTGAGCCGCTGTCTGTGTGGACCCGTTCCAGACGTGTGTGTGGATGGGGTCACGCGCAGGTGGTCTTCTGCATCGGGCGTGTCGCGCTCAGCACAGCGTGCTCAAGCTTCGCCCAGGCTGCAGCGGACTCAGATCCGTCCCGAGCCGGGCCCTCCCCCTGGCCAGCGGGCGCTGCCCTGAGCAGCTCCGGGAGCCGTCTGGGTCTGCAGCTAAAAGGCAGAGGCCTCGGCCAGTCTCCCCTGCTGGGAAGGGCCAGGCCAGCAGCTGGGGGCGCGTGGGCGGGGGGCCGCCCCGAGGCCAGACCCTGTTTCTACCGAGTCAGCACAGCCCTGCTGTGTCTGCTTCTGCCCGCATCCCAGGGTCTGCATGACTGAGACTCCCCGTGCCCGGGCTCCTCGGTGCAGCCCTGCCAACCCCACAAAGCTCTGTCACCGGCAGCCCCCACCCCTACCTCCCCGAACTTACAGCAGCTTTCCTCCCCCGGCGGGGCTGCCCCCACCTGGGCACAGCCGCCCGGCCCCGGCAGTTGGGTTTGGACCCCAGCTCTGCCCTTCAGGTGCAGCCGTGGCGAGCTCAGGACGCTCTTGGTCTCCGATTCCCGCTTGGAGGGTGGGGCACCTGCCCTGCCTCCCTGGTCTAGCAATTGCCCCGCCCTCCCCTGCGCCCTCGGTCAGTCGCTTCTCCAGGCTTCCTTTCCCCAGCTGGCCCTTCGCCTCGGGCTTTACCGAGGCCGCGGCACCTGCTTGTGCCCCTCGGTGCCGGTGCGGCACGGGCCCCGCCGTTCCAGTCGTTCATTCAGGGGAGGCAGAAGGCCTGCTCTGGCGCTGAGGCCTTGGCTCCCCCGCGGTGTAGCATCCCAAAGCGTGTGCCAAGGAGGCCCACGGCCGCCCGGTGGGGGCTGTTTCTGACCCCCGCAGCCTGGCTTAGGGCCACAGCGGCTCAGGGCCCCAGCACCTGCGCCACGCCCTGCAGTTGCTGGAGCTGCCGGGCGTCGTGAGCTGCAAAGACATGTGCTCCAAGGGCTCCGTGTCGCCTCCCGGGCACCCAGCGGCGGGGCGCCCTGGACCTCAGCAGCTGCTCCAGCCTGGAGCGGAGACAGGAGGGTCAGGCATGCCCACGTGCTGTCACCGGGCGGGGGCCGGGTCCCGGGTCCCAGGTCCCGGCAGGTGTGGACTATGGGCCTGCGTCCCTGAGCCGAGGGAAGCCGGACCATGGCCCAGGCGGTGGGCATGGCCTGGGGAGCGCCTTGGGGGTGGGGCCTTGGCACAAATGGTCTTTCGTCTGGTCCTTCTGGCGACCCTTCCGCATCCTGGGGGCTTTTGTGCCCTGCGGGCCCCTCCCCTGCAGCGCAGGACCCCACGGGGGGCGTAGGGCTCCGCCTGGGGACCCTTGAGCCGCACCAGAGCCCAGCCTGCCTCGAGCTGCCCCACAGGCCCCCTCAGAGGAGGAGGAGGCATCCCCAGAGACTCGAGCCCACATGACTGCTTTCTCAGGCGTGGGCGCCACGTGGCTGCGGGCGTGGGCTTGCTCGGAGCTGGGCGGCGGGGGCTGCTTCACGAGCGTGATGGTTGGGACCACCTAGTGCCGCCTGGAGCCGGGCCCGCCGGCAGCCCCTGGCCCCGCGGAGCTTCGTGGGCAGGAAGCGTCCGTGAGGGCGGCGTTCGTGGGCCACCCGTCCAGCGCAGGCCCTGCCCGCGCTGCCCTCCAGGCCCCCGCACTGCTGAGCGCGCCCCAGGCGCGTCCCCTGGGCCCGTGGCCCGAGTTGCACCGAGGACCTGTTGACCCCAGTGTGGCAGCCACCGTCCGTGAGGCGGCGAAGCGGGTGGGGGAGGGCGGTGCAGTCGGTTAGACTCCTCCCCAGAGAGGAATGTGGGGCGTCCATCTGTCCGTCTGTCCGTCAGTTGTGAGCTCCCCTGGAGTGGGACTGGGTCAGAGCCGGCCGCTTTCAAGAGCTGCTGCTAATTGAGACTGAGGTTTGGGAATTCCACGAACCGAATTGGTTCTAATTATAGGTCAGGGAACGAGTACGCGGAGGCACGCGAGCCGCGAACTGGGGCGGGCGGTTCTCCCCAGAAGTAGGGGCGCCCCCAGGCCGCCCCCCGGCCAGCACCCCCGGTCGCCGCTGGTGGGCCTGCCGTCCGTGGAGGAGACCGTGGTGGGGGATGTGGGGGTCTGTGCCCAGAGGCTCGTGGTCACCCCCCTTCTCTGGTGGGCCTGTGCCTTTGGCCTGTGTTCCCACCACCTGCAGGTCATCCTGGCTGCAGCCAGCCTGTGTCCGGGGCTTCCGGCCGAAGGGTCCAGGCAGGCGTGCGGCCGGCCCGAGAGCTGCTGTTCTGGGCAGGCCGGTCGGGCTCGGGGCACGGTCTTCCTCCTGGAAGCCCCGGGGGACTCGGGTGGGGATCCTCCCCGTTCTCGTTTCCCTCGTCCCCACCCCGAGCCCAGCTTCGATCAGGACTCGCTGAACCTGGGCTGGGCCTGCGCCCCGGGGGGGCACAGGGCTGTCGGAAAGCGCGGCAGTGGCCCCCCATTCTGAGGGCGCGCGCTGTGGGGGGGGCAGGCCGGGGTCCCGTGTGTCCTTCCGACCCACCTACAGGCTCTGGGGCCTGAGGGAGGAGCTGCCGAGGGCTCCAGGCAGCGTTGGGCCTCAAGTGCAGAGGTGGGGGAGCGCCCAGGGAGCAGAGGCGGGAGGCGCCTGGGCGGGCGTGGGACCCCGGCACTCTGGCACGCGTGCCATGCGGAGCGCCAAGAGCTGAGGCCCCAGGGTGGTGGGGCATTCGGGCGGCCCAGCCCTGGAGCTGCTGGCTGGTGGGGGCAGGCGCAGGGTGGGCCTCCCTCCGCTGGGGGCTGAAGGTGCCCCGGTGCCGCCCTGCGGGGAGGGCTCGCTCAGGTCCAGGTCTGCCTTCCACGCCCCTCTCTGACACCGTGGGCGAGGGGTGCGGTGCCAGCCACGAGTGGGCCTTAGAAGGCCGTGGGGCCAGGCACCGGTGGCCGCGCAGGCAGGTGAGCGCCCGGCCTGGCCTGGCCTTCACCGCATCGCCCCCGCCCCCCCTCGTTCTGGAAGGGGCGTGCGTCCCGATCGCGGTCTGAGAAAGGGGAACGCGCCTTCTATTTAAGGGATGTGTAATTAAAAAGGCAAAAACAAAATAACCGTAATTTAGGTCGGCAGGAAAGATAACAGCAGAGCGTCCCGTCCCCGCAGGGCGTCAGACGAGCGCTGGTGGCTGGAGCCCTGCGCCCCCACCTCGCCCTTGGCCCCTCAGGCCCCTGGGTGCAGGCAGCCTCCGCAGGCGAGAGGCCGGGACCTGGCGGGGAAAGGGGCCTCCGTGTCCAGAGGTGGCATCAGGACACTCAGGGCCCCCTGTGGGGATTCTGCCTGCAGAGCCCGGTGGCCGGGAAGGACTCTGCTCCTCTGAACCGCAGGGCCAAGCCGCTGGGGCCGTCTGAACTCCCTGCCTCCCCGGGTGGGCGCCGCCTCGGGCCGTGCAGGCAGGAGCGCGGAGCCTCTGCTCTTGGAGCCGGGAGAGGCTTCTGAGGGCAGCACCAGACGCGCTGCGTCTGTCACTGCACGCCTGAGGTGGGCACGTTAAAAATGGGGGGAGAAGCAGGGGAAGTTGGTTTGAACAATGTATCTTATTTAGCTGAATATCCCTGGAGTGGTTTTTCAACACATAACTGTATAAAACCAGCAATGGAACACTTGGCGTCTTCCTTTCCCGATAAGCCTTTGAAATCGTGCGTGACGTGGGCACCTGCAGAACCTCCGTGGCCGCAGGAGCTGCCCGGTCGGGCGCCGCCCCCTGGGCGACACGGTCTGGCCCTTCCCGCACATCCCAGATGTGGAAGCCGCAGCCCAGAGCATTCAGGCATCAGAGTGCGCCGTTGACTGGCCCCCAGGCTCCAAGGGGCAGAGCAGACCCCAGACCAGCCAGTGTGGATCCCTGACACGCTCCCTGGCAGCCGCCCCGGGCCACGGCTCAGGGGTGCCCATGGTTTGCCGAGACCCATCGCGGGGAGCTCGGGGACAAGTTGGTCTGTGCGTCTCAGGCCCTTTCAGGGCACCCAGCTTGCTGGTGTGGGCCGCGGCGGCCCCGTGCCCCTCCCTGGGCTTTTGTCAGCTCGGCTGCCAGCACGTCCCGAGGGCCGGTGTGCAGGGGCTGGGCGGAGCGTGGGCAGCCGGCATCTGCGGGTCGTGGACCACTTGCCAGCCTCGTGACAGCGGTGCGCCCTTCCTTTCCCCGGAAAGTGGGGGCTGGGCTTGTGGACAGGACGGCGGCCCCGTCGCCCCTCTGCCCATCCCCAGCTGGGGCCCTGCTCGGAGCTGTTGTGTTCAAATGGGACTTCAGGGCCCACCGAACTGTGGCACACCCGTGGCCCCGCGGGGGCGGGGGACCTTCACCCACTGACCTCTGTCCTTGGCCTGAGTGCCAGGCCCATCAGACCAGGGAAGGGGGCACAGGCCTGGCCCTAAGCCCCAGGGAAGCCACTGGCTGCAGCCAGCTGGTACCCAGTGACCGAGTGCAGCCTGCGGGGCGGGTCCCCTCGTCGTCAGCTCGGAGTAGCAGTCCGCCTGCGGCGGCAGCCTGGTGCACTCTCACGCATGCGCCGCTGTTCAGGGGGCCTGAACGTGGGAAAGGCGCAGCGGCCCAGCGGGGGAGCTGCAGCCGAAGCCGTGCGGGGGCCTGTTCTAGAAGGCCCTCCCCCACCTCTGAGTCACCCCGGCTTTGGCTGGGAGAGGGGACTCTGCACCGATCCCTCTTCTCGGATCACAGGCCGCTCCGCCCCGGGTGACTAAGTGGGAGCAGCCTGCGGGGCTGAGGCGCTTTCAGCCTGGCGTTCCTCTAGCCGTCACCATGGCGCCCGCTGAGCGGGGAGGGGCAGGGGCGGGCGGGACGGGGCGGGGCCTGTTGCTCAGTCGTCGGGGGTCAGGCCCAGTTTTGCCCGCTGCACTTGCCCAAAGAGCTTGGATGCTCTGCTTTTGGGGGTCCCTCTCCATCCCCCTCGAGGGGGGAGCGCCTCACGTGGCCTAGATTTCCGGGCTCTGCCTGGGAGGTTGTGGTCCCTCCCCAGCAGCAGCTGGCGGCCCCGCGTCCTGGCTGGCGAGGGCCCTGCCCTGGCCGGGGCGCTCCGTGCTGCTGCTGGGCGCTGAGCGGCCCGAGACCCCTGGTGGAAGGCGGCAGTTCTCCTGTCCCCACGGCCCCAGCTGGGCGGGTGGCCGCCTGCCAGGGCTGGGCAGCAAGGGCGGCATTTGTCCTGCCTGCCTCCCATCGGGCGTGGTCCCTGGGGAGACCCTGCTGAAGCTCCTGGTTTCCTCTTGAGACCTGTCTTTGAATAAGTGGAAATATCTTAAAAATAAGACACCACGCCTCCCCTGCTCGGGCGGCTGCCAGCCCCTGCTAATGAGGCCAGCGCCCTTGCCGATGCAGGGGACGCGACCGCAGCCTGGAAACCCAGAAACCGTCCGCAGGCCCGCTGGGTGCCCGGGGGCCTGGGCTCGTGAGGAGCTGCGCTCAGCAGCGGGCTTGCGGCCGGCGCACCCGGGGGGCCGCGTCCCGGTTCACGGCGTCGCTGTCCTGGGGTAACTGCTCGAAGCTCTGCTTGTTCTGCTCCACAGCCCCCACGTAGAGGACGCTGGCCACTGCTCTGGGCGGCCTCCCCGGACCGTCCTGCCGGAGGCCGCTTGCCCCTCAGGCCTGGGTGTGGGGACTCCGCGGGCCTAGCTCTCCTGAGCCCACGCAGCCCCCGGAGCTTGCCAGGCCGGTGTTGGGGGGGATGCTGGAGCCGCCCCCAGGGACGCCAGGCAGTGACGGCCCGAGGGCAGGGCGGGCGGGGCCGTCTCCTGGAGCTCCTCACGGGGCCGCCCCCGTACGGGCCCCTGGGCCCCGGGCTCAGCGCCCCCCGCCCCGTGTGTGAGGACAGGGGCCGAGGAGTGCTCGTCCCCGCTGTTCCCGACGGTCCCGGGGCGGGGGGAGACGTGAAGTAGACCCCGCAGGGATCTTCCAGGTGGGTGAGGGTGGGGGCGCGGGGGTGTGCATCAACTCTCCCTGCACTGAACCCCCCAGCAAGCCCCTCCTCTTCCAGACCTTTCTACCCAGACTGTCCCCAGCTCTGGGCGGCCACACCTTCCCGTTCTCCCAAGACCCTCAGGGGCTTTGCGATGAGCAGCCCCCTTGGCAGGCGCCCTAGCGAACGCTGTAACCAGGCGACCTCTAAGGAGTCCTCCCAGCCTCCCCCGCCGAGCCGTGCACGGTCCCCAGGGTGCCAGGTCTGCAGGCTCCCATCCCCGTGTCCTGCCAGCGCTGGGGCAGGAGCAGGGGGCACGCGCAGGGTAACCGGAGGAGGGGTCCTCGGAGCCGCGGAGGCGGGGAGAGCGCCCGCCCCAAACCCCGGCCAGACCCTCGCCTGGGCTCAGACCTTCCTCCAGGGCTGGCCAGCCCGCCTGCCCGCCCTCCCCAGGTGCCGTCCTGGGTCCCCTCAGGCACATCGGGGTCTGGGGTCAGGGCCTTATTCCTGGGGGTTGTGGCTTTGGTCTGGTGGGGGTGGCTATTTGAGGTGCACTTAGGCCGCCCTCAGGGAGCTCACTGCGAGCAGGTGGGTGGCCTGCAGGGCAGAGAGCGCCAGGCTGCGCGGGTCCCGTCCTGGGCTGGTGTGGCCCGCTCCCCTGGCAGAGCGCAGCCTGGCAGCAGCGCTGGGGGTGGGCCCCCAAGGCAGGTCCTCGCCCCTCCAGCTGAGCAGCTGCAAAGCAGCCCGCTCTGTGCCACCTGCCTGGGCTGGGCGCCGCCCACCCGCGCTGAGTCAGAGCTCATGGGGAGGCGGCCCCCTCGCCAGGGCTCGCCCCTGCAGGGGGCACAGGGTTGCTCTGCGAAGAGCGGACTCTGCTGAAGCCCCTCTCAGACAAGCCCGCGGCCGGCAGACCATCCGCCCGCGCACAGGTGCGCAGCATGGCGCGCCGCCACGGTCTGGTGCAGCTGTGTTACCAGAAGTTTCCAGCCTGCGAGTCCGCATGCATGCGCGCGGCGACCCCGCCCCCAGCCGGGCCCCGTGTGAGTGTGTGATCCCTCCCGCGGCTCCCAGGGCTGGCAGGGCCTTCCTGGTCCAGGCAGCTTCAGACGGTTGGGATTGGGTCTGTGGGAGGCGGCGCAGCCACGCACTGCCACCGCGTCCCGCCCGGCAGGTCACTTGGCCAAGGCCTGCCCCGCAGGCTGGGGGCGGGCGAGGGCAGTGACCGCCCCCACCGCAGGCCTCTGTGCACTTTCCCTCCAGGGCGCCCCTCTCTGTGTCCTCCCTGCCACGTGTCACAGTGCTCGGCTCTCTGTCCGGTGGTTCCCGTGGGCAAGGTTTGCTGATGCTGGTTTTTAAGGACTGTTTAGGTTTTGTTAACATGCTCAATGTGAAGTTTACTGTTTGGGATCTCAGGGCGCTGAGCACAGTCACGCGGCTGTGCAGCTGTCACCAACCCCCACCTTCAGCCCAGGCGGACACTCCGTCCCCACTGGACGTTGCTCACCCCCTCCCGCTTCCCGCCCTTGAGCCAACAACTCAGGCCGCGAGCCTGGCGCTTCCGGAAACGGGGAGCTTGACCGGGTTGAGGTCCCCACGAGGGGGGTGCGGAGAGCACCCTTCACAGACGAGTGTGTATCCACCAGGCAGCCCAGAGTGGCTGCGCCCAACCGCCTTTCATGACGGAGCTGGGGTGTTGGGGCTGCAGAGGGACCTCCTCCCAAGACCGGGGGTGGCTGGGCAGAGGGGACGGGGCTCACCGCTCTCCTGGATCCGAGGGTGGCTCTGCCATCTCCCTCGGTGAGGCCACTGGGGCCTGGGGAGTCTCAGGCGAGGCCGAAGGACAGAGGAGCGGCACCGGGGTGTGGGCCACGGCCTCGGGGAAGGGCCAGCCCGGTGCCCAGTTGGCAAGCAGCGCCCTCCCCTTCCTGGGAAGACCCCTTCGGAAGTGAGCCTGGCCGCTGCCCCGGTGCTGCTGGAGGCAGGCCCAGCGGCCGCACGGGCCACCGTGGGCAGCCAGGCACAAGGGGCCACCGGGGTGGGAAGCGCGCAGGGCCAGGGGCTGCCCCAGGCTGGGCGTGACCGGACATGGTCCTGTGGCTGGCTCACGGTGTCCCGCTCTCTCCCCCACCAGTACATCGATGCCATCAGCAGCAAGCAGGGCGAGCTGGAGAGCTACGTGTCCGACGGCTACAAGACGGCACTGACCGAGGAGCGGAGGAGGTTCTGCTTCCTGGTGGAGAAGCAGTGCGCCGTGGCCAAGAGTGCTGCCGCGCATCACTCCAAGGTGCGGCCGCTCGCACGGTCTGCTCTGTGCTGGTCCCCGGGCATTTCGAGCTTCTGGGGTGGAAGGTTCTAGAAGGGAAGGGACCAGGTCGGAGCCTGCAGGCTTTCTTAGAAATTGCCGGGCACTTTGGGCGAAGTGTCAGCGACAGCCCACAAGAGGGTCCCCTTTGGAGCCAGCTCCTCGGGGGGGGGGGCGCGCTGCCAGGGGCCCCTCAGGGAAGCCGCTGACTCCCCGGGACACGAGCTCCCTGCAGGTGGGCGGCCCGGCCCCCCACCCACAGGCAGGGGTTGGGCGCCCCAGGTGCTGGGGGCCTGCGGGGTCCCACAGATCAGTGGGCACGCACACTCCCTGCTGATCCTTGTGGCCCGGCTACCAAGGAGGCACGTGCCTCCCACCACGGAGAGGCTCCTGCCTGCCCGGGCCCGCCCGGCGCTGCTGCTGCCGCAGGTGCAAAGCCAGGAGAGCCAGGGCCGCAGCCCCGGGGGAGCGGGGAGGGCTCGCTGGCAGCTGGGCGTGAACGCGGGCGTGGCTCCCCCTGTGCTGCCCCCCGCCGCCCGCAGGGTTCTGGGTGTGAGTGTTCAGAGCAGGCCCCTGGAGGGCTGCGGTGGCACCTGCGCCCTCTGGTGGCAGCTGGGCCCTGGTGCGGGTCAGGGAGAGCGAGTGCAGGTTCGTTGGTGCCGCAGGCCAGGAAAGCTGTGGTCCTCGGGGTACCGCGGTCTCTGAGGGGTGACGCCCGACTTCCTAGGCCAGTGGGCCTGGCCCTGCTGGGTGGGTTTAGAGAGCGCAAGCTGGGGGCTGGGCTCCAAGGCGGGGCCTCAGCCCGTGCCCCACAGCCGGCCCCCAGCTGCCACCCAGCCGCCACCCTAGCACGTGGCCTCGGGGCCTGCAGCTGGGAGCCTTGTCGGAGGGGCCCTGGGCCACTCTGACTGCCTCAGACCTGCAGCCGCTCAAGGGCAGTTGTCCCTGCTGGCGCTAGGTCCCGGCCGGCCTTTCTCACCAGCACCCAGTCTTGGCGGCCATTGACCTCCACCGAGAGTTAAGAGAGTAAATAGTTTCAGTTTCAGCCATTGGTGGTGGGAGCAGCCGCAGGCAATGTGCAGACGGACGCGGTTCCAGTCAAGCCTCATTCCCCAACGGGTGGCAGCCCTGAGCAGGCTGTGCCGGCCTCTGGCCACACAGGCGAGGAGGGGCCACAGCCCGCTCGGCGGGGCTGTTCGCCCACGTCCTCCCGTGTGGCCATGCCGAGCCCCTCCCCACCCCGACGGCCCCCTGGCCGCGCAGGCCCTCCCGTGGCCCCCTGCCCGGCCGGGACTCCTGGCCCTTCTTGATACCCGGCGGTGTGTCCCCGAGGGGTGTGCCGTTCTGCCGCCACCTTCTGTCCACGTCTCCTTCCTGGGCTCCGGGGGGTTCCCCACCAGCTGGGCCTTGGTTTGCCCCTGTTCCTGGGGACCCATCGACGGCGTGGTGTGCTGGTCAGCCCAGCCCTTCCCCCGGGGCGGTGAGGCACTGCCCCGTGAGGAGCAGCTTCGGCTCTGGCCTGGGGTGCCCGGGGGCTGTCTCCCAAGGGACCTCCCGGGGGCTGGGGCCGCACCCGATGCCGTCAGCGGGCCCTGAGGGGGGGCTCCGGGACGGGCCAGAGCCTGCGGCCGTCCCTCACTGCCGCCCTCCCCACTGCCCCTGCTTCAGGGCAAGGAGCTGCTGGCGCAGAAGCTGCCGCTGTGGCAACAGGCCTGCGCCGACCCCAACAAGATCCCAGAGCGCGCCGTGCAGTTGATGCAGCAGCTGGCCAGCAGCAACGGCGCCATCCTCCCTGGCACGCTGTCGGCCTCCAAGTCCAGCCTCGTCATCTCAGACCCCATTCCGGGGGCCAAGCCCCTGCCGGTGCCCCCTGAGCTGGCCCCATTTGTGGGGGTGAGTGCTTGGCCTCCACGTGTGGGCGTGGGAGGGCGGCCCTGCTTGGGCCGGGGGCCCTCCACGCCGGCCACCGCCGAGTTCGCCGGCCGGGCCCCCCTGCAACCCCGCGCCCTTGCCGCCTCTTCCCCACAGCGGCTGTCCGCCCAGGAGAACACGCCCATCGTGAACGGCGTCTCGGGCCCGGACAGCGAGGACTACAGCCCCTGGGCTGACCGCAAGGTGGCCCAGCCCAAGTCCTCATCTCCTCCGCAGCCTCAAACCAAGATGAGCGACTCCTACTCCAACACGCTGCCCGTGCGCAAGAGCGTGGCCCCGAAAAACAGCTACGCCACCAGTAAGGGCTCCACAGGGGCTGCGCTGGGGCCCCGGACCCACCCTTGCCCCCAGTAGTGGCAGCATACCTGAGGGGAGGTTAGGGGACCCCAAGGCTCACATGTGTGCACGCGCGTGCTTCCTGGGGACCCCTTTGAGATGTCCATCCCGGACCCTCGGGCCTTTTGGGCTCCCTTTTTAACCTGCCAGGGGTGGGGCCCTGCCCAGAGCAGATGGGTGGTTCTGGGGAGGCAGCAGGAGATGACAGGGCAGCGCCCGCTCCTGGGACCTGCTCTCACCCCCCATGGGGCCTAGCGGGAGGTCTCCTGATTCGCTGGCAGGAGGGCTGAAGCTCCGCCCTCGGGATGAGTGGCAAGTCTGAGCCGCTCCACGTCCCCAGCACCCAGGCCCTTGCAGAGTCTGAGTCCACCAGGGTGGACGGCCCACCTCCAGTCCCCCTGGGGCCGCTGGGTGGGGTGAGGGTGCCCGCCTTTGGCCCCCCCGTGGGCGGGGCGCCCTCACGCCGCCCGTGCTCCGGCAGCCGAGAACAAGACGCTGCCTCGCTCCAGCTCCATGGCGGCCGGCCTGGAGCGCAACGGCCGCATGCGGGTCAAGGCCATCTTCTCCCACGCGGCTGGCGACAACAGCACCCTGCTGAGCTTCAAGGAGGGCGACCTCATCACCTTGCTGGTGCCTGAGGCGCGGGACGGCTGGCACTATGGCGAGAGCGAGAAGACGAAGATGTGAGTGCCCGCGGGGACGTGGGCCCTGGTGTCCTGGTGGCCCTCAGCCCTTTTGAGGACGGTTGTGGAGGCCGCTGCGCTTCCACGGCAGCAAAGCCGGGCAGTGCAGACGCCCCTGACGGAGGCCCCGCGGCAGCTCTCCCTCACCCCCGCCCTCCGACTTGCCCGGGGCTGTGTTCCTCTGGCACCTTCCCTGGCGGCAGGTTGGTGGCTTCCCCGTTGGTAGAGGTCAAGCCTCCCCCACGTCTCTCCTGGGCAGGGCTGGGTCCGAGAAGTCGCATCGGGTCCCGGGTCCGACAGGCCGCGCCATCACGGCGCCGTGAAACAGCTGCCGCCCGGAGGCTCGGTCTAGGCGCTGCCCTGTCCGGGGCTCTGCCTCCCGCTGCCACTGCTGCAGTCTGGGCACATCTGTTGGGGAAATGGAGACCCCGGGGGACAGTCGGCCCTGCCGCCCGCTTGCCCTAACAGAGGGGAGGGGCTGGATCAGCCTGGCCCTGGCCCTAGGCCGCTGCTGCCCTGGGAGGGGCCCCGAGGATCCTCCCGTGGGGCTGGCCCCCCGGGCTCATCTCCACAGCCTGGCGGGGCTGGACGCGCCCCAGGAGCAGGCCGGGCTGTCCGGTCTCCGGGAGCAGTGGCACGTGTCCCGTCCACGGACACGTGCACCCGGGCCGGGGGTCCAGGGGACTGCGGGCGCCGACTGCGCTCACCCGGTCCCTCTCTTGCAGGCGGGGCTGGTTTCCCTTCTCCTACACGCGGGTGCTGGACAGCGACGGCAGCGACAGGCTGCACATGAGGTGAGCGTGCTGGCCCCGGGCTGGCGGCCCTTGCTCTGCACGGGGGCAGTGGGGCGACGGGGTGCTGTGGGCAGCACCCATCGGAGGGGCCCAGGCCCTCTCAGCATAGTGAGCTTGGCTGGGCTGCCTGTGCCCCATGCTGTGCGCCCAAGGCCCTGGGGGTCCTTCGTGGCCTGGGCAGCCTCGTCCACTGACCCGTCCGCGGGGCTGTCCTTCCCCACGCCGGCCCGGGGCCAGCACTGCTCACGCCTGCTGGGCAGGTATGGCAGCAGGAGCCCAGCCGCCTCCCACAAGCCCCCAGACCCTGCCGAGGTGCTTGGGAGAGTGGGAGACCAGCCTGGGAGCGGCGCAGGGGCTGAACGCGTGCTGTGGGGGGGGGGCGCCGGGGGGCTGAGCCCCCGCAAGCCTCCCGGGTGTCGTCTCCGCCCGCCTTCGTGCCCAGTTCTGAATGAGGGTCCGCAGGCCAGGGCGCCGCCTCTGTCAGCATCCCAGGGGCTGAGTGCGGCCCTGAGCCCCACAACCACCCCCCTACCCCCCGCAGCCTGCAGCAGGGGAAGAGCAGCAGTACAGGCAACCTGCTGGACAAGGAGGACCTGGCCCTCCCGCCCCCCGACTACGGCGCGGCCTCCCGGGGCTTCCCCACCGCGACGGCCAACACCTTCAAGCAGCGACCCTATAGCGTGGCCGTGCCCGCCTTCTCCCAGGTGAGCCTGGACCGGCCGGGGCCCCATGCAGCCCCTCTGAGGCTCTGCACGGGCAGCCCGGGTGTCCGGCAGGCCTGGGGGGTTGGGCCTCTAGACGCTGGATGCCGCCCGCACCCTGGGAAGGAGCCGGGGCGTCATGGCGACTTGGTGTCCGGGAGCTTCTCCCCAAGAGCCGTGGGACATCTGCCGCACCAGGCCGGGACGTGGCCGGGGCCTTCCTGAGGGGCCAGGGCCAGCTGCTGGGCAGTGGGACGTCCCATCTCGCGTAGCGCCCCCTGGGCCGAGGGCGCATCCGCCCAGGGAGGTGCCTGCCCCCGCCCCCTGCTCTCCCCATCCCGGCCTCAGTTTGGTTTCGCTGCAAAGAGCCAAGGGGGTGTCCCCACACGCCTCGAAGGCCAGGCAGCCAGGGCTGCAGTGACCGCCCGCTGCAGCCGCCCTCGCGCTCCAGCCCCTGTCAGCCCTGGTTTCCGCCCGTACCCCGCTGTTCTGGGGTCCAGGGTCCTTGGGGTGGCCCCTCAGACTGCCCACGAGCCCCGGGATGCGTCACCCGGGTGCCCTCACCGGGCGACCTGCAGCTGCGCTCTGGCTGTGGCGCTCACGGGGCCCCGCCCACTGGGGGCACGCGTGGAGGGCTCGGCAGACGACTGGTCCTGCCTGGGCTGTGAGCACGAGGCCCCCCAGGCCACAGCTGGCTGCAGGCAGACGGGGCGTCACTGCGTTGGGGGGTCACCTCTGTCTGGGGGAGCTCTGTGCCCTCTGATGCAGGCGGGCCTGCACACTCGGGCAGGCGAGGCCCGGCCCTGAGACCTGCGTGGCTCCCCGGGCCCGGCCTGAGCAGCCTCCGCCTTTCCTCCCCAGGGCCTGGATGACTACGGGGCTCGGGCCACGAGCAGGTAAGGGCCGCATGCGTGCTGCTGGGGGCTGCAGGGAGGGCGCCCCGGGGCGGGGCCGGCACGGCCCGGCCTCTCTGGGGAAGCCTGTTTGGAGCCACACAGTCCCCTCTCGGGCTAAGGGCTAGCGGGGCCTGGGTGCCTGTTCTCTGCCCTCAGGCAGGGCACCATATCCCAAGGCGCGGGCTGAGTCTCAGGACCTCGCTGAGGGGCGGCTCCTCCTGGTGCGCGCTCTGTGCTTTCTGTGGGTGGGTGTGAGCCGGCGGGTGTGAGCTGGGACTTGTGGAGCCTGCCTGGCCGGTCCCGCGGCCCTGCAGTGGCCCTCCCCCGCCTCCCGGGGTCCAGGCCTGCCTCGTCCACTCTCGGCACCGACAGCGGGGACCCCACCTGGGCTCTGCCCTCCTGGCTCTGGGGCCTCTCCTGTCACCCCTCCCCCAAGGCCAGGTCACCAGGTGGCCAGCCAACCCTGAGCTGCTGAGAAGGCTGCTTTGGGGGAGGCACGCGGCCCGGCAGCTGTCCTTGCTTTGTTCACAGCGGCAGCGGCACGCTGGTGTCCACAGTGTGAGGACGCTGACCACGGGCAGCTGCTGCTCGGAAGAGCTTCCGCGCGCCCCCCCCCCCCCAAATCTGTCTGATCTCCATCGGTTTCCTCCTCGGCTCTTGTTGGTTTGTTTTCGGGCCGTTTCTCTTCCCCACCTGCCCCCTCTTGCCTTTTGGTTGGTGACCCCGACTCTGAGATCCCCAGGGTCCATGGTGCTGCCCCAGCTCTGCTCCCGTGTTTACACGCCCCCCGGTGTCCCGCCAGGCGGGACCTGCCAGCCCGGCAGCGAGGCGGGCGTCCTGGCCTCTGCTCCCTGTCCGCTGCGCGCACGACGCGCTGAAGCCCCCTTCCTGAAGGCTCGCCGCGAGCCAGCTCTGAAGTTTGAAGAAAAAGAAAAATCTTTAAAAAAACAAAAAAGCTGAAAACAGGAAAAGGACTTTTTTTCCTGAAAACAAAAAAGATATGCATGGACTCCGGTGTGCGTACTGTTATTTATGCATCTGACTTCCCCCGGCGCACGCTGACCATCTGTCAGGACAGGGAAGGAACCGGGGCTCCCGTGGGCGCCGCCCGAGGGCCCCGCCGCGCCCAGGGCCTCCTGAGGAAGCTGGCCGCTCCTGTGAGGGAGGCCGTGGCCCGGGCCCGGCCCACGCCACCAGGCCGGGCTCCCAAGACCTGCCTTCTCTGTGGATGCCATGGGACGGTGTCCAGAGCCCAGGGTGTGAGCGTCACTCCGGCGTGGCAGCCTCACACCGTGCCCTGGCGGGAGGGGGTCGGGAGCAGGCGCCGCCCGGCCGCACACGGACATTCCAAAGACCTCCGGAGACCGCCCGCCCCCCGCATTCTGGGAACTGGTTCCTGAACCGGCCTCGTGAGGGAGTCTCGGCCCCCTGGCCACACGGGGCAGGGGTGCCAGGAGGGCGGCTTTGGGCACCGCCCGCGCCTGCCGCCCTGGGGGAAGCAGGCAGTCCCTGCCCCCGTCCCCCCTAAAACGCTCGTCTTTTTGTGTGTCTTGGTGACTTCAGAAAGAGACATGCAGGACTCAGAGGCTACTGGTATTGCCTCCTCACACCCTGAACCCAGGAAGCAAGCAAGGGGGCAGCCCCCAGACCCCTCTGGGCGCGGGAGCCCCCGGACACTGTGGACGCTCCTTTAACGATGTGACTTAGCAAAGCCTCCCATGGACCAGAACGTGGCCAGTAGTGTTTGCGACAGAAGCCATTCAAGACATAGACCAACCCTTTTATATGTAAGGAGAACTCGAAGCCGGAGCCTGGATCTGTGTGCTGGAGCCCCGCGCGGTGTCCGGACCCTGCGGACAGACCTCACATCGGGGGCCCCGTGCTCGGTGGATGGAGGTCGGCACAGACCCGGACACGCGAACGAAGATGTAAAGTGCTGAAGATATTTTTCCCGTTTCTTTTTTAAAATCTGAATTGTGCCCTGTACCGCAGTGGTTTGAATAAAAATTTTATTTATTGCATCGAGTTGGGTGTAGCGCCTCCTTCCAGCCCCGCCCAGATGCCCCCCTCGCTGCTGTCCCTGTGGGACGCCTGTGGTGGCTGCCGCCCTGTGAGCAGGGCTGCGGGGCTGGCCCCGTGCTGGCGTCCCGGGCCCCGCGTCCCCCGCGCTGCGCCGGCCTCCCTGTCCCCTCGGAGCCCTCAGGCCCGCGGTGGCCGCACCTGCGACAACAGCCCTGTGTTCCCTTGCAGCCCTGACGCGGACGTGGCCAGGCTCTGAGCCGCCGTCTCCAGTTAGTAAGTGCCGGGTGCTCCCGCGCGGGTCAGTCTGCGCTCGCAGGGGCTGCGGACAGACCCTCTGGCCTCTGCCGGCGGTCAGGGTGGGGCCTGAGGGTCAGCCAGCCTGCTCTGCTTCGGGCTCCAGGCCTTCGCTTCCCCTCGGTCGCTCCGCGGGCGCACGGGTTTCCTGTCCGGGCCGCTCTGCTGCCACCTGGGGCCCCTCCCCTGCTGCTGGGCGCGGTCGGGCTGCCGTCTGCCTGGATCTCTTTCCTGCCTCTGCCGGGTGCTTCGGCCAATCAGGGTGGACCGGCGATCGGGCGTCTGCCTCCTTTGGCTGCGTCCCGACCGGGCTCTGCGGGCATGGGTCCGAGCCTGCCCGGCCAGCTCTGGGTGCTGTGTCCCCGTCTCGGGGCTGGGAGGTCAGGCTGGGACCAGGGGCAGCTCCATGGCTTGTGGCGGGCGAGGGCCACAGGTGTGTGAAGCAAGGGCGCGTCTGCCCTGCTGGGGACAGTGGTGGCGGGGGCGCTGCCGCCGCCGCCCCGCACGCCCTCCGGGCTCCAAGGGGCTGTGCCCGCTCCCTACGCCGGGCCCTCGCCCGCCTCCCACACCCTCCCGGCGACGGGCTTTTCCTGTCCTCAGGGAGCCCCGGCGGCCAGCAGGGCTGCGGGGCCCCACCCTCCTGGGTCCCTGGGCCTCCCCGCAGGGTGGCCACCGCTGCCTGTTTGTCCCCCACCCCAAGTCACTGAGCAGGGGACCCTGTGTCGGTGGCACCCTGATCCTTTAAAAGGATGGTGACCACTTGACCCCCAGCGCCTGCCTCCCCTCGGGCAGCCAGGCGACCTGGCCGCTCTGGGCTCTGGTTCTCTGGCACTGCCTTTGTGTTGGTGAGCTGAGGTGTGAGTTCTGGAGCGTCCTGGGAAGCGCCGGAGCGCGGTGCCCGGCGTTTGGGAAGAGGGCAGGACCCTCACTGTGGCTCCGCGCCTGTCGGTCCCCGGCTGCCACCTTCGTGCTTCTGCCCCCTCCCTGGAGCGGCCTGCGCCGCTGCGTGCCCGCGGGCCTTGCCTCTGAAGGCGCCAGAAAGACGGAAGGCATGAGGGTGGCCCCTCGCGTACGCGGGCCCTGGGTGCCAGTGGGCACGGCCCGGCCTGAGGACTCAGCTGGGGGCGCACGCCGGGAGCCACCTCTGGCCAGTTGCAGGACTGGGCGCAGCTCTGCCAGAGCCAGGCGGGTGGCCGGGGAGGGCGCCGAGGACCCGGTTCCAGGAGGGCGACGCTGGGCAGGACCAGCGGGTGGGCGCACGAGGAGGTTCTCCAGGGCCTCCCTGCGCTGACTCTCGAGGGCGGAGGCTGCTTGCGGCCGAGGCGTGGCTGTCCCCAGAGGTGCCACTTGCCATTGGCGCAGTGGACTCAGCGACCACCCCAAGGCTGCACCCCCGCGGCCACATGCGCTTCATGGGGCTGAAAGCTGCCCCTGGCGGGGGCTGGGGAGGCGGCACAGTGGGGCGGGACCCTGTGCAGCTCAGTGTCCCCGTGGGCTGCCCCTCACCCCGTGGGACCTCGGGCCTGCTCCGCGCCCAGAGCAGACCCACCTGTGTGTGAAAGCCACCACTGGACATGCCTGCGTCCCCACTCGGGTGCTGCTCGGTGGCTCTCAGTGAGGGGACCACTGTGCCCTCAGAGCCCCGCCAGGGTGTGCAGGCCTGTCCTCACCTGCTGCCCTGTGTCGCGGGGAGGAAGCCTGGCCTGGCGCCCGCCCTGGCGGTGGCCGGGAGAATCTGCAGTGAGTCTGGGGCCCATCTTGTCCTCTCACTGTGGACTCCAGCCCCGGGCCGGGGTCACGGGCACCCTCACCAGGGTAGCTCGTGAGCGGGTTCTCTTGTAGGACATTCCAGAAGGTAGTAGATTTGGGAGGAGGCTGTGCCCTCCCTCTGGTGCTGAGCGGTGGGAGTGCCTGCCCCCGCCCCGGTCTCCGGCCTGGTTTGCGGGGAGCCCCCGCGTGGTGCAGGCTGCAGGCCGGGGGCGGGGGGTTGCTGCCCGCCGCGCTGTATCGGGATGCAGATGAGGGAAGTTAGGCCCGAGGCCAGACACCCTCCGGGTGGGGCCTTCTGGCCCTGTGGCAGCCCCTGCGGCGGGCGCTGTCTGCCACCGCGGTCCCACTTGCTGCGAACTCTGGAGTCGGGGGTGGGGGCGCGCTGCCCCCACCCACCAGGCCGCTCGGCCCCTGGCTGCGGTCCCACGGAGCCACCCTCCCTCTGCTCAGAGGCCCCTGCTCGGCCCCCAGCTGCAGGTGTGCACACCTGCCCCCAGGCCCTCCTGCCGTCCCCCGGAGCCCTCGTCTGGGACCCCGGCCAGCAGAGGGGCCGACAGCCCTGGTCACAGCAGGCCCGGCCCTGGGAAGCCCCACGGGGCCCCCGCCGTGGCCAGCTCCCCCGACACGCGCGGGCGCAGACCGGAGCCGAAGAGCGGCCCAGCGGGCGGAGCCTGGGCCCCTGCGGGACCGGAAGCGCCCGTCCCTCCAGGGCGGCGACGCCCGAATCAGAAGACCCTCACAGGCGACTCTCAGCGGTCGCCCTGCAGATGCCGACGCCTGCCTGTGTGGCCGTCTCCTCTCAGTAACTCACCCTTTTAAAACGCCAGTCCAGAGCGCCTCGGCCGCTTAGAAAACGCCGCGTCCTCGGGAAGGCGCAGGGCGGCCCCCGGCCCCGTGCCCTCCGGCACTGCCCCCGGAGCGGCCGCCGCCCACCCAGCCCCCGTGGACGCCGGCCGGCCGTGCCGGAGCACCCGCGCCCCAGGTAACGGCCGCAGGGCCGCGCGCTTTGCCCGGAGTGTCCCGTCCATGCCGAGCCCTCTGTGTCCCACGTGCCATCTGTGCTGTCACCCCTGGGGCTGCCTGACGTCACCAGCCTGCTGTCCTGAGCCTTGGGGGACTCCGAGGACAGGCTTCCTGAGGACCAGGCCGGGCGCTGGCCCCTCGTGCCCATCTCGTTCCATCTCCACCTCCTGTCTGGCCGTCCATCTGTCCGTCAGCTGCGGCCTCGGGCGTGCGGGGGTGGGGGGCTCCCCGGGCGACAGCCAGCCCTGCCGCAGGGGCCGTGGGCTGCACCCAGCAGGCCCGCGGCCGCCAGTGTGCGTGCGCCTTGTGTGTGTCCAGTCGGCGGGGGGCAGGCCCGGCCACCCTCCGGGACCGGGACGCAGGGGCTAGACTGTGTCCGTGCTGACGGGTGGCCCTTGCAGGCGGGCAGGCGCGGCAGGGCCACCAGGCCTGCGGGAGGCTCCCTGGGCTCGATGCGGCCCGCTGGGGACCGAGAAGGACCCAGTCTGGGCCCCGGGGCAGGCGTGGCGGGGGCGGCAGCGGGGCCCCGCCCCCCCGCCCGCCCTGCCCTGGGAGGGTTGATCGTTCAATTGGGGGTGAGCAGACGCAGTTCGGGAACACGGGCCTTGTGGACAGCGCCCTCCCTCGCCCCCAGCTTGGAGGCTGGGCCGCGGGGGCTGGGATGGTGCCGCCTACAGAGCTGGTGTCCTGGGGACACTGTGCCTGCACCCTCCCCACTGAACCGCTTTCCTCTTCCCCTCAGGAATCCCTTCGCCAGCGTCCAGCTGAAGCCAACAGTGACCAACGACAGGTCTGCCCCCCTGCTCAGCTGACGGCCACAGCTGCACCCACCGGCCCCTCCCCCACCCCAAGCTCTGTTGTTACGACCTGCGCGGCTGCCCTTCGGAGAATGTTTCTTCCACACCCTCCAGCTGCTGGCGCTACTCCCGCGTCGGTCTGGCCTGGGCAGGGCCGCACTGCCCCTGCGACCAGGGCGCCTGGGCCGTCACCGCGGACAGCTGAGGGGGGCCGGCTGCAGCGGGGCCTGCTGGCTGGGCCGTGGGGCGGTGGAGCCCACCGGGCGAGCGAAGGACCCCCTGTCAGCTTGTGGCTGGACGGGGAGTCCAGCTCCCACACTGCCCGCAGCTCCCCGGTGTCTGGTCAATAAACGGGCTGCCCCAGCCGTGCCCGCTGTGGTCTGTCGGCCCCGGGGGCGGGGGTCCCGGGGTGCAGGGACGGAGCCCCTGCCGTCACCTGTGTCAGGGGCGCCCCGCACCCACCGGCCGTCGCGAGGGGCCTCTCCGTCCCAGTTCCTCACCACCCGAGCCCCCGTTCTCAGCCAGAGCTGCGGCTGGGGCCCCAGCTCTGCTCCCCGTCCCTGGGGAGGTGGCAGGTGCTGTGGCCTGTGTCCCCAAGCTGTGTGCCACCGGGGGGGGGTTCTTGGCACAGGATTCGTGGGTGGCCCGCCCTCTGTACCCTCGCTACTCCCACTCTTAGCTGAAATGCCCCACTTTAGAAACTTTTCTATTGGATCCCTGCCACTAGACATTTGCAGCTAAAGCTCAGCCGTGGTGACCAGCGCTGGTGACAGCGGCCCTCATCTGGGGACGAGTTCCAGGCAGAGCCGCCCCTCCCAGGCCCTCCGAGGAGGGTTCTGGAGCCCCGGGCCGCCTGCAGCCTGCCCCGCCCAGAGCAGGGAACCGAGGGCAGGGGCCCAGGTGGGCACACAGGCCTCTCACCTGCCAGAAGCCAGAGATGTGCCAGGCGGGGCAGGTGCCTGGGGTGGGGGTGCAGGGAAGCCCCAACCCCTCCCACCGCCGCCTCGTGCTGAGGGACAGGCTCTGGGTGGGGGGAGGCGGTGGGGACGGGCTTCCCGGGGCCATTCCCCACTCGGCTGTGGGCAGACCCCACCTGGGCAGGCGCAGTGCAGGGGGAAGGGCGGCCTCCAGCCTGCATCCGCCCCCGCGCAGCCCAGCCGCAAAGGAAACACACTTAGTCCACAGGCTTTTTGTTCTTAGCTTGGTTTCTCTTAGAAAACAAACAAGGAACAAGAAAGTCGTCGCACCAGCATCCTAAGCCTCAAACTAGTAAGAAACAAAAACACGAACCCCAGAGCATCCCCGCCCGCACTCCCAAAGCAGCGACAAACTCACGTCTCTTTGGCAACAATAACTTAAAATCATAACCCCGGCCTCGGACAGTAGTGGCTACAAAAATATTCCCTGTGCGGCCCCCCCCCAGCTCCACCTCTTCCCCGGCCCCTTCCCTGTCAGCGGGAGCCCCCCCGGCACAGCCCCCACCGTCTTCCAGCAGCAGGGCGGGTAGTCCCCGCAGAGGGGTGCGCCCCACACCATGCAGCAGAGGGCGCCTCTGGAATGGGGCTGAGGCGGCGGGGCGGGGCCTGGAGGCCCCCCCTGTCTTTCAAGCTGCCCTGTTGACTCCAACAGGGGGGCCCAGGCAGGAATAGCCCCAGACCCTGCGCAGAAGGAGGGCATGGGGTCTAGTGGAGTCAGTGAAGGGGAAATGCAGCCACAGACTTTGAGGTAAGGGTGGTGGGACCCAGGAGCCCCGGGGCCTGTCCTTGCACTGAGCAAACCCAGAACCAGGTGAAAGGGGCCGAGGACACAGGGCCTGCGCCAGGTACCACGCAGGGTGGGGGGCACCGCCCCCTGCAATGCACTGCTGGGGCCGGCGGGCAGGGCCCGGGAGGCCCCCCAGCCTCAGAGGCCGAGCAGTCTGACAGCGGGGCGCGGCGCCAGGCCTTCCCTAGGGAACAGCGGCAGAGACAGCAGCCAGGCCAGCCCTGCCCCTAGGGCGGCCCCGGCCGCGGCACGGCGCTCTGCGGACCACGGTGCTGCGCAGGGCACCGCGGTGCTGGAAGCTGCTGCCAACCGCGTCGACTGCAGCCCCCACACAGTCAGACGCCATCCTCGCTGCTGCCCAGAGCAGGGCCTCCAAGGCGGGGCCGCTGGGGCCTCAGGCTTCTTTACAGATGCCCCCAGCACCTCCGGCAGAGCCTGGTAAACGGGATGCGCAAGTTTGGAGAGATGCAGCGGACAGGCGGAGCCCCTCCCCCGAACTCCCACCTGGCTCCCCCCGCCCCCCGGCCCCCGCGCCCCGGCCTCGGGCCACTGCCCGGCCGGGGCTGCAGCCCATAGGCCTCCGCACGGCCCGCCCGCCTGCCTCCGCGGTGGCAGCAGAGCTCCACGTGCCCTCCCAGCTCTCCTGTTACGGGCGGGGAAACTGAGGCCTGCGCTGCCGAGCGACACGCACTCGCCTTCTGGTGACCTGCTCGTTTGTTCTGGGGTCCGTTCAGAACATACTCTGTCCAGGGACAGGCCCAGGGCAGCGGGGAAGGGGGTGGGTCTGCCTGGGGAACAAGAGGACCAGGAGGCGTTTGGGTGGAGGAGGGCTTTCAGCGAAGCCAGGCAGCACTTGCAATAAGTTGGCGGGGGTAGCGGGCTGCCCGGCCGAACGAGCTCGCAGTCTAAGGCCGGCGGAGGAGTGCAGCGCGGAGGGAGGCGAGGGCCCTGGTGCCTCCCGCCGGGCAAGAGCCAGCGAGTCTGGGACGTGCGGGGTCCCGAGCCGGCAGGGAGGGTGGGGCGGCAGACGGGGCAGACCCGCAACGGCCGGGGAGGTCCTGTTGGGAGAGGCCGCCGCAGGTGGGGGCGCTCAGCGCGCAGCCTGTGCCTCTGGAAAAGCGAGGAGAGGCGAGGCCTGAAAGCCAGGCAGCGCCCAGCCTCGGCTCAGCGAGCGGGAGATGAGTCCTGCCGACGGGCCCAGACGGGCACGCGTGCGCGCGAGCCCACCTCGCGGAGCCCGTGCCGCGTCTGGACGCGGAGCCTGCGCAGAGGAAACGACGAGTCCCAGCCCCGCTGCGGGGTGCCCTCCCGCCAGCCACGCCGCAGCCTCACCTCCCACACGGCCGGCGTCCGAGTCGGAGACGTGCGTGATGGAGAAGCGGGACGCGGGCGCGGGCGAGACGGTGAAACGCGAGAAGGGGCCGGGCGCGGCCGGCTTGGAGGGCGCGGCGGGGGCGGCCAGCGCGGTGTCCCCCGCCGGCGCCCGCGGGAAGCCGTCGTCCCACTGGAACTCTCCGCCTGCAAAACGCCCACGGTCACCGGCCCCGCCCCGGAAGTCCCAGTTCGTCGCGTCACCTAGCCCTCTCCGTGAAGACCCGAGACCCGGTCCCGCACTAGAGGCCCCGCCCACGGCACGTGGCCCCGCCCCCGTAAGGCCCCGCCCCCAGCTCACCCTCTTCGACGGTGAGGCCGTCGGGTGAGCCTTCGGCCCGTCGCGGCCGGCAGGGGGCGCCGGGGGCGCCGGGGGAGCCGGGACGGCCCGCGAGGAACGCGGGGGGCGACTTCTGGGCTCCGGGGAAGGGCTCCCCAAGCTCCCGGGTGGGGCTTTCCTAGAAGGTGGGAGCGGCCTGTGAGTCGCGCCGCCAGCACTGGCCACTCCCACCGCTGTCCGTCTCGCCGGGGGCCCCACCGGCCCACCTGGTCGAAGAGGTAGACGGTGACGTCGTCAAAGAAGGACACGGCTTTCTTCTTGCGCTCCAGGTCCTCACAGAAGGCCTCGGACAGCAGGCTGGGCATTTTGAGCAAGCTGCGCAGGTGGCGTGCGCTCTGGCTCTCGGCCACCACCACGGGCACGGGCGGCGCCTCCTCGTCGCTCTCCTCGCTCGGCTCCTGGATGCTGTAGCAGCGGAGCTCCTCGTCCGACTCGTCGCTGTCCTCGCTGTCCTCCTCTTCCTCCTCTGGCCGGCCCTCCGGGGCAGCGGGGAGTCCTGGCAGGGCCAGGCAGAGTGGGCCTCTGGGGGCGCCCGGGCCCCCTGTCCGTTCCTGCAGGACTGACCGCAGTCCCCGGGGCTCCTGCAGCTCGGGGCCGTGGCTGTCTGAGCTCCGCGGGACGGGGCTCAGTAGGAACACTTTGGAACGCCCGGGACTGGGCACTGGTGACCCCTGGGCTGGGCTTGGGGGCCAGGGAGGCTCCCTCCCGGGGTCCGCGGGGCAGGCGCTTGGTCCAGGGGGAGAGCCCTCAGGCAGGGGCCGTGGCGACTCCTCCCTGGGGCCAGGGCTCTGCGCCTCCCCAGGTGCCGCAGACTCAGAAGGAGGCTGGGCAGGTGGCAGCCCAGGGCCCTGTGGACTCTCCAGGTCCGGCTCTGGCCCAGGGGCCAGGACTCCCCTGCCCCTCTTCCCGGGGCCCACCACGGGCTCGGGCTCAGTGTCCAAGTCCGAGAAGTAGGCGGAGTCACGGTACGGGTTCTTCTCGCTGAGACCGCTGAGGGAGGCCGAGAGCTGAGTCCCAGCTCCGGGGCTCTCACCCTCCGAGGCCAGTCCCCCGAAAGCCTCAGGCTCACACGGGTCGTGCGCCTCCTTGGGCACGAACTCGGGGGACTCGTAGTTCTCGGTGTCATAGCCGCTGTCCAGGGCTCGGGGTTGCCCTCCAGAGGGGCCGGCGGCTGACGGGCTGAAGACCTCACAGCCCCCATCGCTGGCCGACGACGGGATGTCCAGCGAGTCTAGGGAGTCAGGGGTTCCCACCTGCTTCTGCAGGGAGCGAAAGGCTGGCGTCACATCCAGCTTCTCGGCCTGCGGGCCGTCACTGGACAAGTCGGTGAAAACACCGGAAGTGGCCTCAGTGGTGTCCTCGTTGTCACTGCCTGGTGCCTCCGGCTCAGGAGAGCTGCTGCCGCGGCCCCATGTCTGGGCTGGCTCCGTGGCGGCTGGCTGGCTGCTGGCAGGCGTGGGCGAGGCAGGCAGGGCGGTGGGGGCGCTGGCCTCCTCAGCGGGAAGCAGGGCTCCCTCTTGGGGTGGGGACGGGATGGATGGAAGGAGCCGCTGGGGTCCCTCAGAGCCCTCGGCCTCCTCGCCAAGCCTGGGCTCTGTCTCTGGGCTGTCTCCCCCGCTGATGGCTGCCTCTGTCCAGGGGGGCGTGACTAGGCTGGTGGCAGGTGGCAGGCCCTCAGCAGGACACAGATGAGGGGGGTCAAGGCAGCGGCTCGACTTCTGGCCCAAGGAGGCTCCCTCTAGCCCAAGGAGCGGCTCTCTGGGGTCCTCTGGGGCCAGGGGATGGTCCAGCTCAGAGACAGCCCATCGGGTCTGCTTCCTGCAGGAGAAGCCGTCCCTGTCGCTCCCTGTGCCGCCTGGATCGCAGGACTCAGGGGCGCGGCTGCCGCTGTTGTTGTTGGCCGACACGTTGGAGCTCCAGTGTCCATGCTGGGCGGCCCTGCGTGCTGCGGCCTCCCCCAGCTCCTCCCTGCCCAGAGACAACGGGGCCCCGGGAATCCCAGAGGGGTCTGTGCCCAGCGGGTCCTCACAGTAGGGCGGGCAGCGAGTGGCCGCGCCCCAGTCCGCCACCTCCACTCCAGGCTCCACCAGCATCAGGCCCCCGGGCGAGGAAGCGCGCGAGGGGCAGGGCAGGTCCTGGGCGCAGCTGCTGCTCGGGGAGAGGTCGGGGAGGCGGTCGCCGTGGCCCCGGGGGCCGTCGGTGGATGGCGCCTGGCCCTGCAGCGGCACCGCCAGCGAGGCAGCAACACTGCCATCTGAGCTGGTGTCGTGGCCCTCGCCCTCGGAGCTGGGGGCTGCGGCGCAGGGGTTAGGGGTGCAACCAGCACAGTCGGGGTCGTGGCCGGCAGCGGGTGCGGGCTCCTCAAGGCGGATGAAGTACTCGCTGCCCACAGAGGGGCTGTGTGCGCTGAGAACAGGCACGACCCCCGGGGGTGCGCCGTCTGGAGCGCAGAGCTCCTGCAGGCGCGCGGCGCGGCCCGGGCTCGGGAGGTCCGCTGGCGGCGGGAAGGCGTCGGCGCCGTGGGCCGCTTCCCACTTGTACTCGAAGTTGAGGCCACGGCTCGTCTCGGTCACCGTGAGCACGTCGTCGCCGTCCGCGTGGAAGCCGTCGCCTGCGAACTGCTCCAGCAGCGGGAAGGACGAGGCGGCGGCCAACTCACCCGCGCTCCCTAGAGCGGCGCCAGCCGCCCCCTGCCCGGGGCCCGCACCGCCCCCGCCCGGCCGCAGGGAGCGCCAGCGCTGCTCGAACTCGTCCTCCGCCGCGGTGGCGCCCTTGGCGCACAGGTAGGAGAGCAGCAGGTGCACCTCTTCGGCCGTGGGCCGTTGCTCTGGCTGCAGCCAGCAGAACTGCATCACCTCATACCTGCGGGGCGGGGCGGGGCGGGGCGGGAGGCCGGGCTCAGCCCCACCCCTCCCCAGGCCCCGCCCTCCCCAGCCCCCAAGCCCCTGTGGGAATGAGCCTATCTGTCCTCCGTGTAAGGGTCTGGGGTCCCCTCCTCACACTCGAAATCCTTGAGAGCAGTTAAAGGGTTCTCCCACTTAAACGAGACCCCAGATCTCAGGTGGGCACAGTGGTTTGGGAGCCAGCAACAGGCAGGTCACCCCACCTGCCTGCAGGTGAGTCTGTGCTTTGGGTAGAGAGCCCATTGCTCTGTGAGTACAGGGCGCGACCCAGAGGTCACTGCCGGTCAGAGGGGAGCCAGGACGAGCTGGAAGCCCAGGAGGTCAGGAGCTGCTGACCACCGGCACGCGGAGCACCCCCACCCACCCCGTTTCCCACTTCCTGCGCGGGATGCCCCTGCCCCGCCTGGCGTCACCGGGCCCTCACCAGCGGTCAGACAGCGGCAGCGGCAGCTGGGGCTTGGGCAGCTTGAGCTGCTGCTCCCGGACGGCGTAGGCCAGCACCTGCCTGTCGGAGTGGTGGGGGTAGGGCTGTGCGCCCAGCTCGAACAGCTCCCAGATGGTCACGCCCAGGGACCTGCGGGGGCGACGGCCCTCAGGGGAGGCTGGCTCGGCTGGCAAGGCACCGCCGCGTGGGACCTGGGGCCCGGGCCGCCAAGGGGCAGGTCCCATCGTCACAGCAGCCGCTGGGAGCGGCCTCTTCAGTCCATCCTGCCAGCCTGTGCCCAGGGCGCCCAGGCCAATAAAGGCCAGCCTGGCTTCACATGAACGCCGTCCACTTGCGTGTCCATTCCTTCCTTGCCTCTCCCCAGTGAAGACCAGACCCCATACCAGCCCCAGGAGCCACCCTGGCGTGGCCCCCCACCCCACCCGGCCCAGCAGCGGCTGGCGGGGGGGCTGGTGCCAGGACTGAGGGAGGGAGACGTCTGGGGACGTCTCAGGTCGGCGCGTGTCAGGCCTGGGGGACGTGCAGGTCTGGGAGAAGGCAACCGGGCTTCTTTGGGGACGGCGGCCTCACCCCGCTGTCCTGGGAGGCTGGGGGCGTGAGGGACAAGTAACCGCGATGGCCTGGGGACCATCCAGGGGACCCTGGTCCGCATGTGGCAGGGGAGGATCAGAGGGAATGGCGTGTCCACTATGGGGCATGGTCCAGCCGCTCGGGGGCACTGTGGTAAGCTCAGGAAGGGGGGCTGGACCACGGATCCAGGCTCGAAGGGTCCATCAGGAGCAGAAGGGAGGCCAGGCCGAAGCCTGGGGGGCTGGGAAGACGCTGGAGGGGGAGACAGGCCGGTCCAGGCCAGGGACAGGCGCCGGCTGGCAGAGCTCAGTGGGCTGAGCGCCGGCCTCCAAACCAGAGTCCCCGGTTGGATTCCCAGTCAGGGCACATGCCTGCGTTGCGGGCGGATCCCCAGCGGGGGGCGCGCGAGAGGCAACCACACATTGACGTTTCTCTTTCTCCCTCCCTTCCCCTCTGTCTAAAAACAAATAAATAAAATATTTTTTAAAATACCCCTAAAACCCCAAAATGCAATATTTAAAAAAAGGCCAGGGATGGCCCTTCCATTCTCAGGCCTTCAGAGGCTGCAGCAGGGCTCTGCGGGGCAGCCCCTCCGCGCGGGCGCAGGGCCTGGGGGGCGTCCGTCTCCGGCGGCGCCGCCCGTTGTCCCTCCCAGAGGCTCTCCCGCTGCGCAAGGCGCGTCCTGGAGGGGCGGAGCTTCCTCCTCCGGCCCCGCCAGCCCAGGGCGGGGGGCCACACACACCCCGGTGACCTCGCCGGGGGCCACGTGCGGCCACCTCCTGCAGGGCGATGAGGCCGGACAGGCGAGTATGTCCTCAGCAGTGGCCTCTGAGCAGCAGCCGGCCTGCGTCCACTCGGCATGGGAACGGGTGGGTGGGCGCGCTCAGTCCCTGCACCCTCACCCGACCGCCGCTCAGGCAGCCGGCAGGGCGGCCGGGAGGTCTGACGGCAGCAGCGGGGACCCCGGGACCCGCACTCACCACACGTTGCTGGCCTTGGTCTGGTCCACCACCAGCAGATTGCAGTGAACCTCGTCCACCAGCTCGGGCGCAATCCAGCGCAGCGGCACCCACAGCTGGTCCGCGGTCACGAAGTAGTCCTCCTGCGCGGGGGCGGGCGAGCGGACCAGTGTCACTCCGCAGGCCCCGCCCCGCCCGGCCCCGCCCCACCGCTCCGGCCCCGCCCCACCGCTCCGGCCCCGCCCCGCGGACTCCGTCGGCCCCGCCCACTCACTCTGTATTTGCCGTGAGACAGGCCGTAGTCGCCGATCTTCACCGTCAGGTCCGCGGTGAGCAGGCAGTTTCTCAGGGCCAGGTCACTAGGGAGCGGGAGGGCGGGGTCAGCCGGCTGGGCGGGCCGGGCTTCCAGGCCACCGAGGGGGCTGGACCGCTTGTCAGGAGGGCGTCCCGGCTGAGCTCCGTGGGTGGGCAGGAAGGGGCGTCGGAGAGGCTGCCACCCTCGCCCTGCCCCTGGCCCAGCGCTGGGCCGGGCGGAGGGTCCGCATGGACAGGGGTCAAACGTTACAGCGCGGACGAGGAAAACGAGGCCCAGGGAGATCTAGAACAAGCCCGGGCCCTCAAAGAAGGCGCGGCCCTGCGGTCACTCCCGACCCCAGCTGACAATCCCTTCTTTCTGGACACCGGCCGCTTGCGCCGCCCCTCCGGGGCCAGCCAGCCCTGGATTCCCTGGGCTTTCCACCTGCCCACCACACCTGGGCTCCCCAGGAGGGAGACATCGGCCGGGAAACTGGGGTCCCAAGTGTCCCTGCCCACACGGGGCCCGCGGAGGGCGGGGGTGTGGAGCGCCCCCCTGCGGCAGCACGTCGCCCCCAGCCCCCCTTCAGCCCAGCTTGGGCCTGAGCTGCGGGTGTCTCCCCCGCCTGCGGGGGTGGGGGTGTCTGGGGCAACCGTGGGGCGGCCCACGTCCACCACAGGGCGGCCGGCCGGGGCCGCGGACGGGCCTGAGCTCGGGGGCGCGGGCAGCGTGGGGCGCGGCGGGCGGCGGGCGGGAGGCTGGCAGCTGCCCTCTTCAACAAAATCACTGATGCTGGAGTTGCCAGTGTCACCACTCAGCACCAGGATGTTGTTGGGGAGGACGGCCGTGCGGTGTCGGGGCTGGCCGGGCACGTCCATCGCTTCCGTGGGCACGTCCCCCCCTCGCCGGGCTCCCTGGCCCATCGTTCTGACTTAAGGGGCCAGGGCCGGCAGCAGGACAGAGCCGTCCCCCCACCCCCAGGCCTGGGGCGACCCAGCGTGGGCAACGGGGTGACGCGGACCGCCTCGGGGGCAGAGGCCGGGCCGGGCCCTGTGGTGCTTCTGCCGGGGCCGGCCGGACGCTGAGGGCCGAGTCCCTCAGCCGACCTGCGAAGCAGGGGTCTGCGCCCCACCCGCCTGGCGCTTTTGTTTAAGGAGATCGCGCGGCACGGTGGTCCCTGGAGGCGGCGCCCGCGCAGGCCCTCCCCCAGCCCCAGCAGCAGCCCCTGGGGACCCGGGGCGCCCGGCCCGGCCCGGCCCTCACCTGTGCACGTAGTTGTTGCGATGCAGGTGCAGGACGCCGCAGGCCACCTCGCAGGCCATGCGCTGCAGGGTCAGGGGGTCAGGCGCCATGGACTCCGCCGCCCGGCAGCTCCGCAGGTAGCCCTTGAGGTCCCCCTGCCGAGAGGGGCAGCGCCGTCACCTGCGGTCGCCTGCCGGTGCGCAGTGGGTCCTGTGCAAGCGCCCCGCCCAGTCCTGTGCCCCACGCAGGGCCTGCGGGCAGCCGGCACGCTCTCCAGACCACCGCCCCGCAGGCCACACCCAGCAGCCCCACGGCACCTGCGGCCGTGTTCCGTGTACAGTACAGACTCCTGGGCCCCCTGGGGGGCAGCAGACAGGCCGCGCGAGCGGCCACCCAGAGCCAGGACAGAGCCCAGGGCGGGCGAGCACGCGGCGGGGCCCCTCCCTGACCTGCCGCCGCCCCCCCACCCCCGATCCAGGGAGGGCCCGGCTCTTCTGGGGAAGCGCCAAGGTCAGGGCCACGGTCAGGAGTCCAGAAAGCAGACAGCGAGGCCTGCGTGCCTTGGTCTGCGGTTGCGGAGGGTGCCTCCCTGTGGGCAAGCAGCGCAGCACAGTGCCCGAGCTGCGCCTGCGGGGGGTGGGGTCGGTCCGCAGACACGGGTGCCTCTGGGGTGGGGGCTGGAGAGGCAACGGGAGGCCCAGAGCGTGGGGAGAGGGGTCCCCGGCTCAGCCTAGTCCTCTCTGTGGGGCCGCCGGGCCCGCCTTCCCGTCCCGCAGAGGCAGGCCCGGGCAGGCGACTCACCACGGGGCAGAACTCCATCACCAGCAGGTAGGGCGTCACCTCGGCGCACTGGGCCAGGCACCGGAGCAGGTTGCTGTGCTGCAGGGCCCTGCGGGAGCCAACAGGCTGCCCCCACTCCCACGCAGGGCGGGAGGGGGCAGGCGGACAAGGAGCGGGGCTGGGAGGAGGGGGCAGCACCGAGCCAGCCTTGGGTTACGGGGCCCGGGGCCGCGCGCAGCCCCCGCCTCCTCCAGCCGCACCTGTCCCGGGCCACCCACCTGTAGGGCTGGGCCTCCTCCAGGAACTGCATCTGCTCGTGCACGCTGGCGCTGGCCTTCAGCTCCTTCACCACCACCTGGGTGCTGCTGAGGCCCGAGTTCACCTCCCCCAGGAACACCTGCGGGGGGCGGTGTCACCGCCCCCCCCACGCTGGTGCTGCCTTCTGCGCCCCGCTTCACACCGTGAAACGTGGGCCTGGCCCCCCGCCCCCGGTGTACCCTCCTGGCTGCCACGTCCTGTCTCTGGCTGTTCTCGGGGCTCTCTAGGGGTCCCCAGGGAGGAAGAGGGATCTGGTTGCCCCGCTCCAGTGGGGGGTCCGGGAGAAGCCAGGACCAGGCCGCTGCTCCCTGTCCTGCGCTCAGCCCCCTCCAAGCCCTCCCGGTGCCTGATGCCAGGGCAGCACTGAGGGGCTGCAAACCGCAGGCTCCCCGGCAGGAGTCCCCGGGAGGAGCAGTCTCCTCCTGCCCCTCCAGCTTCCAGGAGAGAGAGGGGCCCACGATGCCAACCCCTCCCCGCTTGGGGTCAGCAGCTCACCTTCCCAAACCAGCCGTGGCCGATCTCCTCCAGGTACAGGAGGCTGTGCCGGCCCAGGTCTGTGGACTTGAGCAGCTGCACTGTAACAGGGTCGGGGGGGGCGGTGCTCAGGGACTTCAGTTCAGCCTCCGCCACCACCCCATCCTCCCCCACCGGCCCCTGGACAGGCTGCCCCCTTGGCCTGTTCTGGGGGCCACACCTGGGGGCTGCCATCAAGAGCCGGGCACCAGCCGCCCCGGGGAGCCGTGGACCTGCGAGGTGCATGCGGGCCTGTCTCTGGGAGGCTGTGCCCGTGCAAGGAGGACACGCCAGGCTGGGGGCCGCGGGACTGTGCTCGGGCAGCGCCGCCCGCAATGTGGCTGGGGTGCAGGCCATGGGGGGAGGACACTGGACCGACCCGTCCCCTCGCCCCTGCCACAGGCTGGCATTCCAGCGCTGGGCACGCCAAAGGCTCCTTTGTTGGGGTCTGCTTGGCACCGCCCCGCACGGGACACACTGGGCCCTTTCTCCTGCAGGCCGGCGGGGCGGGGTCAGCGGGGGGAAGGGCCAGGGCTGCGGGGCCCACTCGTGCCCTCTTGCGCCCAAGGGATTCCCCGAATTCTGCTCCCACGGCACTGCCCGGAGGGCCCTGGGAATGTGGGCCTCCATGCTGAGCAGAATTCAAGGGGGGGGTCTTATTGGGCCCCGAGTCCCAGGGCTCCTGCCTCTGAGCCCCAGCCTGCCAGTCCCCCTCCAGCCTGGGGTCTCCCCAGCAGGGGCAGGGCTGGGGCGGGAGCGCTGGGGTCCGCCTGGGAGGCAGTACCCGCCTCCCAGCTGCCCAGACCCTTAACTTTTGACCTCCAGGCGGGCTGCCCCTCCAGCATCACCTGAAACCCTCCCCCCTCCCTGAAGCAGGGGACCCTGTGCAAAACTGAGGCCAGAGCTGTAAAAATGGGGAAGACAGGCAATCACTGCCCGGGGGCCTGTCCTCCCTCGCCCTGGGGACGGTCCCCCGGGGGGAGAAGGCGGGTGTCGCATCAGCCCCGACGTGTGTCGCTTCTGTTTTTTGTGTTTCCTGACTGAGGCTTCAACTGGCGAGGCACCCCCTCAGATGAGGGCCGGCGCGAGGCTCCCGTGACCCCGCGGCCGCCGCACCGTGGAGCCCTGCCCCCACCGCAGCCCCGGTTCCCCTGGGAGGGGAGGCCCCAGCTGCTTTCAGTGACTGACCCTTTGGGCCACCTGGGTTTTTCTTATTTTCTTCCTGGGCTTGACATCTCCACTCTGATTAAGTTTGCCATTGAAACGAGAGCTGCCCACCCCAACGACCACAGCGCCCAGGCCGCGCACCCCTCTCTGCTGTGACCTCCCGCAGCCCCAGTGCCCGGAACGTCCAGGTCCTGGGAGTCATAGGCCTGTGTCTTTTCAGCATCTCCTTGTGCTGCTTCCTGGGGGGGTCCCCAGTCTCGGGAAAACCCGCAGGGCCCCTCTGGTCCCAGCGCTGACGTGGAAAGGGGTCTCGGGGGGACCCCGCGGGCACCCCGCGGGCCCTCAGTGTTTCTAGGCAGAACATTGCTACCCCCGAGACTGGCCGAACACATGGGGCCTGGAAGGTCCCCCAGAGCCCCAGGCACAGTCTCCCTGGCCTGGGCAGTGGCCCCGGCTCCCCGCCAGCTCCCAGGGCCCGGCAGCGGGGGCCAGGCTCAGAGGCCCCACAGCCACGCAGGAAGGCTGGGCCCCCCCAGCAGAGAGCCTGCCTGCAGGGCTTTCCGGGGTGGCCCTCCGAACGATGCCCCAGCTCCCGACCAGCTGGAGCCGTGGGGCCGCTGGCAGGGGCTTGGGGCAAGGCCGACATCTGCGGAGCCCCTGGCCCCGGACCGGCAGCCGATGGCCCCGTAGTCTCCCCCAGGGCTCCCACCGGCGCCCGGGGGCCCCCGGCCCGTGAGGAAGGGTGGGCTCCAGGGTGGGTGGCATCTGGCCCGGGCCTGTCCGGCCTCGGACAGAAGCAGGTGGGCCGGCCTGCCCCCACCCGGGGCCCGAGTGAAAGGCCCATTCACGGGCGCCCACAAAGGGAGCCCCAAAGAGCCCGCCTCCCCGAGTGGGTGGCCCTGCCCCCCAGGGCACAATAGACGCCGTGTCCCTGCACGGCCAGGCCGCCCGGCTGAGTGGGGCTCAGGCATCCGAGGGGCAGAGCAGCCCCGCCCGCCCCGCGCGGGCAGCCCATCCAGGACCAGAGGCGGCAGCCCTGCCCCTGCCCGTCGCCGGCCCTTTGCACGGTGACCCTGGGAGGGGGCGTGGGTGACGTGGCAGGCGGAGAGCTGCCCCCAGCCTGCCCCCAGCGCTCCTCCCCCGCTCCCGGGGAGCATGGCCCCTGAGCCCCAAGCCACTCCCTACAGCGCCCGGGGCCCCTGGGAGCAACTCACCGGAGCGCCCGGGCTGCTTGGCCATGGGCAGCGAGACCTCGGTGAGCGGCAGCACGTACACGTCCGGCCCGTTCTGCGCAGAGGCCGCCGGGGAGCCCTGGGCCGAGAAGCCAGCCGCGTACTCTTCCCCCTCCGCATTCTCGAACTCCTGGCCGGGCGGGGGACAGGCGTGTGCGCTGAGCTCCAGGGGCGGCGGGGGAGTGGGCTCTGGGAGGCCTGCCTCCTCCCGGGCCCAGCTCCCGCCTCCCCCGAGCTGGGGGGTGCGGCCCCGCCCCCCAGGCGGGCACCCCTCACCCAGCTCCTCGCCCCTGGGGACACACAGCAGGCCCACAGGCCCCCTGGCCGCAGGGCCCCCAGCCGCCCCAAGGGGGCCGGTGTCTGCTCTGTGGTGGTCCAGGGCTGGCCACGGCCCCAGAGCGCGACGGGTCCCCCGTCAGCTCTCAGCCCACTGCCCCCCGGCAAGGGATGGGGGGGGCTGGAGGCCCAGCAGGGACAGCCCCCAGCTCCCCTCAGCCGCCCCTGGCGCAGGCAGCCGCCTCGGGGTCAGGGCTGGGGAGTGGGGACAGGGCCCCTCACCCCACCCTGCCCCGGGGGCCAGCAAGGAAACGCCCCGCGCCTCGCAGATGCGGAGCTTCCTGTGAGTCCGGGCGGGGAGCCCACCCGCCTTCGCCCCCAGGCCCGGCACCTGCCACCTACCACAGCCATCAGCCCGCGGGCGCCCCGGACCTTGACCGGGGCAGGCGGAGTCCACTCCGGGCCCCGCCCGGCTGGCTGCAGCTCTCAGCGCCCTGCCACACCTGTGTGTCTGGGCAGGGCCCTCCCCGGGCCCAGAGCTCACGCCCGGGAGCCGCAGTCTGGGGGTGCCCCGTCCCTGCCGCGGCTCCAGGAGCCCCGCTGCCAGCCCTACCCGGCGGCCCGAGGCCCAGAGAGGGCACCCGAGGCTCCGGGGACCTCCGCAGGGACGGGCACCTGGGAGCCAGGAGGGCCCCTTCTTCATCCGCCCGGCGCTGTGTGGCCTGGGGAGCCCCTGTCTCGGGCCTCCATGTTCTCAGCTGGGAGGGAGCCCTCTGTGTGTCCGTGTCCTTGCAGGTCTGTCCCAGTCTGTCCCCAGAGGGGACAGAGCCCTTGAGGGCGGGCGAGGCGAGGGCGCCGTTGCCTGTGGGGACTGCCCTTCCCTGGGCCCAGCCGCCCCCCCATCCTGGCGGGGCCCGCCCTGGTCCAGCCCATTACCTGCCGGTGCCACGCAGTGGCCCGCCGGAGCGTGCCGGCACCGCGGGCAACCAGGTAGGACAGGGTGAGCATCGCCGCCTGGGCCCTGCCCCCAGCGCCGCTCCCGGCGCGGGACCCCCGATGCAGGCAGGCCCGCACCCCGCAGAGCCCTGGGGCTGGAATGTTCTGGCACCATGGTCCCGGGCAGTGAGGAGGGCGCCTGTAGGAGGGGCCCTGGCTGGCCCTTGTTTGGGCTCTGTCCTCACAGAGAACAAGAGGAGGCTGACTTATACAACAGCCTTCCCGTCCCACGCCGGCCCCACCCCCAAAGCCTCCTGGCTCTGGCCCCGGGGCTTCCAGAAACGCACCAGCGTTGCCGGGCAGGTCAGGGGCCGACCCGCCGCTTGGGCACCCAGCTCTCCAGGGACCGGGGCGCAGGCCCCTGCGGAGGTTCTGGAAGGAGGGTCGAGCCTCCGAGGTGCGTTTGTCAAAGGAAAGTGCCTGCACCTCGCCCTCAGCGGCCGAGGCCTGCTCCCCCTCTGAGGGGATGTGGCGGGGTCAGGGCTGGCCCTCTAAAATGGCTGGGGTGGGGGCCACGTAGCAAGGGTGCTGAGCCAGGCCCCCGGGTGGCCCCCTCCTGACCTCACCAGGCCCGGGAATCTGACCTCCAGCCGGGGCGGGGCGGCCCGGGGCCAGGGCGGACCCGCGGCCGCGGCGGCTATGTGCTAGGTCAGCAGGAACCGGCCCACACGGCCCGGCTCTGGTTGGGGTGCCCGGCCCCCAGCTTCCCCTGGCCCTTGCTGCTCAGAACCACACTGGGCACGGAGCAGCCCGCGGGCTTGCAGGACAGGAGGGAGCGCCCCAAGGGGCGCTCCAGCCACTGCCCCCAGAGGAGGGGCGCCCAGGACGACCACGGCCGGGCCGCCTTAGGGTGTCGGCGTTGCTGTCCACGGTGGGCCTGGCATCCCGCCGCGCTCGGCCTCATCGGGCCCGACGCCGGGCGGTCCTGGGCGGCGAGGCGGCCCTGGAGCCAGGAAGCGCGGCGTCCCCTGCCGCCCCTGCCCGCGGCCCTCCGCACGCAGGCCGCCCCCGCCCCTCGGGGGCCCACCCCGCGCCCCGTCCACGGGGGCTTGACCTGAGCTGGGTGTGACGGCGCGAGGCCATGGCCCCTCGGAGAGCACCCCGCAGGGGGAGTCCCCAAGGCCCAGGCCTCTCCCGTCGGCAGCCCCGCCCAGGAGTCTGAGGTCCACCCCAGGCGTCCCCGGGGCCCCCGGCCTCACCTTGAACCCGATGCCACCCTTCTTACAGCACAGGCAGGCCAGCATGAGGGCGATGACAGTGAGGAGGCCCGAGAAGGACACCGCGACCACAGCCAGGGAGGACGACCAGGACAGCTCGCTGAGCGGGGCGCCGCCTGCCGGGGTGGGGGCCGTCAGCCGGGCCCCCGCGGCCGGGCCCTGTGTCCCTCGCCCCCCAGGTGGGGTCAGCCGCGCCCCTGCTCCTAGCTCGCCGGCCCTGACCCCTCTCCAGCCTCAGCACCTCCGGCCTCGCTCCAGGACCCACGACGGCCAGCGCGAGCGGACACACAGGGCAGCCGCGGGGGCCGGAGCCTGCAGTCCCTCAGCCAGCCACTGGGTGCCGCTCTGGTCTCACCCCAGGGAAACGGGCTGGCAAAGCCCCTGGGGCCTGCCTGCCTCCCCACCGTGGGGGTCCTGGGCATCCCTCCACCGGCTCCGGGTCGCAGGGCGGAGGGGGGCCCCCTCGATGTCTCCCTCAGGCTCTGGCCACCCCCCCACCTCCAGGAGACCCTGTTGTCATTGGCAGAGCTCTGAGGGTGTCGCTGGTAAAGGCTCTGGGACCCCAAAGGGACAGCGGGACTCAGCGCCAGGGTGCGGGGGGTGCCACAGAGCTGGCCGCGGGGCACAGCGACATGCCAGGCTCTGGGCAGCTGGGGTCAGGGCTGTGGACAGAAGGCCTGTGTGGCCTCTGAGGCCGGGGGCCTGCTGTCCCAAGGTGGCACGGCATTGGCCTGCCGTTTCCAAGTCGTCCCCTTGCTGAACTGACCGCGAAGGGCCCCTGGGAGCTCCTTCTGTCCTGGAGACAGTGGGGCCTCCCCTTCTGCAGCCCCCAGTCCACGGGAGCCCCCTCGTGGCTCACCCTCCGCCCGTGGAGGAACCGAGGAGCCCGGAAGGCACGACAGGGCCCCTCCCGACACGCACACGGCCCCGCGTTAGGGCTCCAGGCCGCCCCCACTGCCCGGCTAACCCGGGGCTTCGGGGAAGCCTGGCCGCTCTGGTGCCGCAAGACAGCCTGGTGGGGCCAGCGAGGCGTCCCCAAGACAGGGCGGGGCCCGTCCCTCCCGTCCTGCCACACCGGCCCCACACGCAGCCCAGCCCCTGGGCTGACATCGGCCGGCCCCCAGCCCTCTGCGCACGGAGCGCTCCTGCCTCTCAGCTCCCAGTGGCGGGTCCTCCAGGCCCCGCGTCCCAGGACACAGCACACCTGCCGTCGCAGGTCTCCCAGGGCAGGGCCGAGAGCCCCGGCAGCGCCTCGCTGGGTCCAAACTGGCCACTGAGACAGCTGCCATGCCTGCCCCCACTGGACAGGAGGTCCCAGAGGCTCAGCCAGGAGCTGCTGGGGCGTCTCCACGGGGCTGCGCGGGCGCCGAGGGCCCAGGAGGGCGGAGGGAGGCCTGGACCTGCCGCTCAGCGCGCTCCCCGCGCCTCATGCAGGGAGAGAGGCCGGTGGAGCGGGCCAGGCAGGGAAGCCCGCGCAGGGCAACCCCGGGCTCTCGCCCACGCAGCCCCCGGGAGACCGGCGGGCCCCAGCCCTCCCCAGCCTCCGATACCCCGCGGCCCCATGGGAAACCTGTCGGGCTCTGACTCTGGGGCCCACCCCCACCCCGCCAATGACAGCAAGAGCCTGCTGGGGGACAAGGCCTCTCCGGAAGCTTCTCCAGGGACCAGCCTGACCCCACCGGGGAGGGGAAAGGAGGGGCGGGGCCGGTGTCAGGGGCCGGGCCCGAGCCACACCCACGGCCACGGCCCAGGCGACAAGCGGGAGGCGAGAGTGATGCTGGGTCAGGCTGGGCGACCGCAGGGCCAGGCCTGGTGTCTCTGGGGTCACAGGGGAGGGCAGGTCCCCCCGGCCCACTCCTGAGGGCCCGGAGGAGGCCTGGGGGCCTGAGCGCCCTCCATCGGGGGCTCCTGCTCGGGGGGGCCGGGCCCTGCAGGGGGCGGGCGGAGGGGTGACAGGGCCTGTGCTCCGCGCAGCTTCCTCAGGCGGACACCCCGCGCCGCTGCCCCAACCCCCCCATCGCGAGGAGCCTTGGTCCGGCCTCCCAGGGAGGCTTGGAGGGGCGGGCGGCAGGGGCACAGGCGCTTCGGGGGAGTGGGGGGCGGGGCGCAGCTGAGGAGCCAGGTCCCGGCCCGGGTTGGTTTTTTTTTTTTTTTTAAGGTTTTATTTTTTTAGACGGCGGGGACGAGAGGGAGAAAGGGGGAGAGAAACATCCACCGGTCGGTTGCCTCTCTCACGCCCTCCACCAGGGACCCACCCCCAAACCCAGGCCTGCGCTCTGACCGGAAGTCGAACCAGAACGCTTTCGGTTTGCAGGACGACGCCCAACCCCCCGAGCCACACCAGCCAGGGCCCTGGCAGGCTTCTTGTAAAAGGACAAAGTGACTTCTTTCTGCCAACAAGTTGGGGCGAGGGGCTGGGGGCCGTCACATGACTTAGGTCACCCCCAGTCCCTCAGCCTCCTGGACCCGGCAGGGGGCAGAGCTCTGCCCAGGCGAGGGGGGAGCCGAGAGCAGAGGAGGGGGACACGCCTTTCCAGCTGCCCACCCGTCAACGAGCTGCGGCCATTAAAAGGCACAGTGTGGTGGCCGGGGTGGCCCGGCCGCCCCACACCGCCCCGCCCCACCCCGCCCATGGAGAGCTTTGGACCCACGTCCAGACTGCGCACCTTAGAGGAAAACAGGTAAATAGCAGATTCCCAGTGGAAAAGGATTCTTCAGCTAAAAACAATGGAACGAATCAGAAAAGATCAATGGTGCTGGCGACATAAAAATGTAGGTTCAATAAAGGCCCCCAATTAGAAGCAAACAACAAACTAGAAAAAATAATTCACAGAAAATATGTCACAGGCCTGGGGTCATTACTGCGTAGGGCACACAATCAGCAAAAAGTGAAAACAACCTTAAAACCACAAAACGTGTCCAAGGAAATGAAACACGTCAGCCCACCAAGGGGCGAACGCCTTCCGCCTGACCCCCAAGAACACGCACAGCCTCGTCCCGGATCGAGGGTCGCAGGTCGAAGCCCGCGACCGGTTCTGGCTGACACCGGTGAACCCACCCACTGGCCCAGGCGCCGGGGACAAGTCAGGCGGCCTCTGGGCGTCCACTGCGCACAGGGCAACCCCGGGCTCTCGCCCACGCAGCCCCCGGGAGCCTTGGGCCCCAGCCGTCTCTTTGGCCACGTGATTCCTCGTCTGGAATCTAACCTCAGAGAGCGGCCTGGCGGACGCAGGTCAGGGGCAGGAGCGGGAGGGATGAGGTGGCCGATCCGCAGACAGACACGCTCACTCGGGCGTTTCTCAGAGTAAAACGCCTCACGGGCCACGGTAGGTCTGGTGCAGGAGCCGGGCCGGAGCTGGGCCGGGCCAGCTAAGCAGCGTCTTGACCCACGTGCACCACCGGTGGGCAACGGCACGGAGGCACCTCGACAAATTAAAAATAAAGCTGCCATGTAACCCAGCAGTTCCACTTCTGGGTATTTACCCAAAGAAATGCAGAGCATGAGTTCAAAAAGACCTAAGCATCCCTGTGTCCGTTGCAGCGGCACAGACGGCAGCCAAGATGCGGAAGCAGCCCAAGCGCCCGTCAGCAGGGGAGCAGGGGAGCGGGGGAGCGGGGGAGCGGCTGAGGAAGGCGCGACAGCTCTGCACCGCGGGGTAGGGCTCAGCCGTAAAAAAGAATGAAGTTGTACCATTTGCAATGTCACGGGTGGACCTTGAGGGTATTATGCTAATGAAATAAATCAGACAGAGAAAGACAAATATACGATTTCACGTACGGGTGAAATCTAAAGAACAAAATAAATGAACAAATAAAACAGAAACAGACTCTTAGACACAGAGAACAGACCAGTGGTGGCCAGAGGGGAGGGGGGTCGAGGAACTGGGTGGAAAAGGTGAAGGGCACTCAGAGGCCATTGCCGGGGGAGAGGGTGGGGCCCGTCAGCCCCCTCCAGCCTCGAGGCCCGCGCCTCAGTTTCTCCAGCCTGCTGGGAGGGGCTCGGCCTGCTGCTTGAGGAGTGAGAGAGCGAGCTGAGCCGTCCGGAACTTTGAAAATGGGGAATCACAGGGCCGCGGGCGGCTGGAGCCACAGGCCGGTGGGCAGGGAGGCGGGAGGAAGCCCCGGCTCCTGAGCGCGCGGCTGCAAGACGCCGACCGGCTCCCCAGAACCCGCCGCTGCTCGCTGCTCTGAGACCAAGGGCAGGCGCCAGGCCGGGCCAGGGTGGGGGTGGCTGCTGGGCCCCGCGCATCCCCTGGGGCGGCGACAGAGCTCATGGGACAGGCCTGGTGCCCGCGGTGCCACCGCCGAGCTCCCGTTAAAGGGGCTGCTTTAGGCCGCCGGAGGCTTCACGGCCGTGTAGAAGCGTTTTGAGCCGTGAGACACCTGGACGCCCTTTCTTAGGGTCAACCACCAGGTGGAGAGCAGCCCTCCCCTGCCGGCCAGGAACCCCCGCACACACAGCCTGCGCCCACAGCCACCGCGGCCCGGCTCCTGTCCTGGCCCTAATATGTCGCCCTGACCCTGTGCGGTGGGGGCATCCTCGCACCCCCCAAGGTGGAGCTGCGTTGAATGTCCCCGTGGCGGTACACGAGGCCAGTGCCGGTCCCCCCAGCTCCGTGCGCAGCTAAACCACCAACGCGGTTGCCCCGGGAGTCCAGCACCCACCCCGCCCTCCCCCGCTCGGCACGCACCTGGTCCAGGGCTGGCCATGGGTCCTGAGCCCCAAAGGCTGTCGCCTTCCCCCCCAGCCCCTGGGGAGCTGCTCCCGTGGCTCCCACTGCCGTCCGCGGCACCACGCCACGGAAGGACACGGGCAGCCGGCCCAGCCCCCACCAGCCTGCGCGCCCCGCGGGAGCAGCCACAACAGGGGAGGGAGCCCCCACCCCAGCCCAGGGGGCGAGCCTCAGTATTTCTGGCGCCCCTGCCACTGGTGCCGGCACAGCCCAGGGGCTCACGCCCGAGGCACCCGCAGGGCTGGGGCGGGGCCTCGGCCGGGCGTCTGAGGACACCCTGGCACAGTGCCCCTGCCCCCAGGCCCGCCGGTGGCGCAAACAGGATCTCGTGCAGGAAGGAACTGTGCAACCCGAGGGCGTTGCGCTGCGCTAAGCGTCCAGGG